TGTTTGATCTGTATCTCTCCTGCTTGATCCGCTTGATCTGCACTTGTCCTGCTTTATCTGCACTTGTCCTGCTTGATCTGCATGAACCGCTTGATCTGCACCGCTTGATCTGCTTTTACCATTCGAAGCCTTAATCGTTATGTTGGAGACAATTCTTTTGGTGACAGTGCTAGTGGTGATGGTACGTTTAATAAATTAACTAAATTGGGACTCATAGTAACACAAAACAAAGGTTTAGTTAATTGTTTTCGATGAAGACAGTCAAGTTTAACGCAGTAATCTCACTTATGTGGCCACACAATATGAATATCTAATTCTCATTGCGAATAATGGAATTTACTTGGTACCGATAAGCGGATCCTCTTCGGTTAAACCTCGACCATTAAATAACCTCAAATTATTAAAAAGAAGTTTAACATGGTCTCAGCAACAACACATGTTGGAACCAATACTTTGCAAAATCCGCAACAACGAGCGAAAGAAGACGTAACTCCAAATTTTAGTGTAACTTTTGGTGTTTACAATAAGGTCGGCTGTCAGATTTTAGGGACTATAAACAGTTAACTAAAAGTTTTAATAAAACAAATTTGAAAATAAATATCTATATAATAGTCGTAAAAAATTGAGGATTATAATTAAATGTTTACTTGGCTATATCCAAACCTGATCCTGGTTTACAGTGACCAAAAAAAAACTTTAATGTTACAAACATCAAAAGAAAATCTAATAACATAACCATAAAGGTATAGTTTTTTAACCTAAATTCATAAACATATAAGTATTTATCATTGCAAATCCACCTTTGGGCCATTATTCTTCGCTCTCTAAAATCCGTCATTGGGCTGGACAACACGAACAATAATTTATAATTTTATAGTTACGTTGGAGGTTTTTTTTTAGAGAGTTAGGTTTTTTTTTGGACCTAAGGTTTATGTTTGGAAGTTAGAAATTAGAAAATATCATTTTCTTGTTATTTAGACTAACTTCTATTTTTTAAAAATTGTTCACCAGGAATGACCTTATTTTCTTGTACTGTTATCCTTCTTACTATTTTTTTTAACTCAGTCAGTTAAAAGCTCAACTAGTTCAGTGTTATTTGCATATCTTTTTTTTTTTAACATTTTGTTTACGCTGTCATATTTTCCAACATGCTTTGCAAAAATTATAACATTGAGAATGATTGATTGAGATGTGTGATTTTGGATTTAATTCTATCTATAACCATACTAGTTATCAATTATGATTTGTTTGATTATTAAAATTAAAATCAAAAGATAAATAAAATGACTGTAGCAACTTTATTTTCAAAGGGTCATTTTATAAAATGTAGAGAAAAATATTGTTGTAAAAATATATTTTCATTTTTGTTATTTTCTTTATTTTAATTATAATTACATTTATTACAGCTATATTAAAATATCGTTGTACCAATGTTTTTCAATGTACCGATAATGTTTTTTTTTATTTTTGTTTATCGGTTGGTATTAATTTATAAATATTTATAAAAAAATAACCACTTTCTTGGGCATTTTTTGACTTGGAAATTAAAGTACCTAAACAATATTTTTATATAACTTGATTCATCAGATGCCTTACTTGTTTATTCTAGGCAATGATTATTCTTTAAGTTCAGTTTTAGCGCTACACTTTTTGGATGTATCTTGTATTATTATAAAATTACAATATCAAATGAACTTAAGACTATAATCTATATATTTCCACAAGAGACAAGACCTACGGCACTTAATCATGATTACAGCCACTGGTTTAACATTAATTAGATACAGATATTATACAGTTCCGGATGATGTGTGCACCGTGGCTTTGAGTTGTGGCGAAGCCAAGTGGAGGCTTTGTCTAACGTTTCTTTGTCATTTATCAAATTTTATTTCTCAAGTTTTCTAATAATTAATCTATTTTATTTTTGCTAACTTTTGGTAATAGATAATATCTCGCCATACGACTCTATTCTTGCTTGTGAAGCATTGTTTTGAACAGAGTTATAATTAATCTACTGTTAAGAGTGTTGTTTATACATAAAATGTACTATGTCGTCTATTTTTTTTTTCTGTAACAAAAAGAAGGTAATATGTCGTCTATTTATTTTAAGTTTTTAACAATATATGACCAACATCGAACAAATCTCGCTTGTTTTGAAGTAATTGGTTGGCTTTTGCGATATATATATATATTTTTAAACTAAATAACACCCTCTAAATTGGCGATATATTTTAGCGTTAAAATTTTTTGGTTCTTGTAAGTTTTAGCGTTTTAAACTTTTTAGTAACTGGCAATAGTAATAACAACAATGACTAGATCATAGTCTTATGCGAAGTAAACATACATATATGAAACGGAGAAAACCTACACCAGGCATTTACCTTGTCATTGTAGGTTTTGCAAATTCGCTGGGTGCCGTTATTACAAACTTAATTAGATAATTCACGTATAAGATCATCGATATTTGCCCGTACTGTTTTAGACACGCATGCATGAGAATTAATTCATTTGTCAATTCATATATAGATGTTGTTTTCGCTGTATATGTTTTTATATTTAAAGAGTACGCATGGTTTTCTTTAATGACTGATGAATTTTCGAAGCTATATAAAACCATTTAAGTATACGCAAGTTTTGTATCCATCTGAATCGGTTGACATCTAGAAGGACAGTTTGGACTATTATATCGTATAATTGTTAGATATGTGAATTTTAAACTTTAGTTTAGTTGGATTAATGTCGGTTTAAATCATATAATAGTTGATGATAATGTGGATGAAAGAGAAGTTTTAGTGAAGTATATAAAATAAGAAACCTGATTAGTATTAATAAGTATTATAATTTCTTGTATTGGATTAGAGAAGCCGTTGACTTTACGGAAACACTGGCATACTATTTATAAAATAACTAATCGTAACTATTATTTATGTTTTATTGCCCACAAGGAGTAGCTAGATATATAGTCGATCATATGTAGCATACGTCGACATCATCAGCCTCCGACCGAACAAAAGAAACAGCCTTGTTTCAACGTAAGCACATAAAAATTATTCCCATTGGCGATATGTTTGTTGTATACAGTAAGTTTAATGACAAATTCCCAACGTACCGTACGTAGTTATCAAGAAATATCATGTGTGAAACGTACGAGGTATACAACAGCATGCAGTTCAATTGATTGTTATTAATTATTTAGTGAAGTTATGTTATATGACATTTGAAGTCGTGTTAATACGTAAAAGTCCGTATACATTATGTCTACTATCGATTCTCTCAATACAAAGTTCAAATCATGCATAAGTCTAAAGACAAAAGCTATATGGCAGAGTTCTTATTTCCTTTGTGTAAAGATACATTAATTTGGATGCTTAAATGCAGCTGTTGTTTGTTTAGTCACACTCAATATCTAAGCTTAGATATATAATATTTTCACTCAAGGCCATCTGAAATCATTCAGCGATAAAAAGGCCATACATACTATCGTCGAGGAAAGATTTGTTTTCTCCAAAAACATGATGATCGAAAAGTCTGATTAGATGCAATACAACATAATGAAAAATAATGGAAGAGGAAAATAATAGCCATAGTGGGATATGGTAAAATAATTTGTTGAAACATCATAATATAATTGCTAAATTATACGTTTTCCTTTTCATAATAATAAAATACAACTATTGGATCACCTATTAAGGATGTGTTTAAAAAAATGTTTCAAATTAAAGGATCACATATTAAGAGTGTAAAGGATGTAAATTCGATTCCTACTAGAAATGATCTACTCATAAGGATAGTTATTTACTACTCCATTAATCAATTTAACATCGATGCAAAAAAAAAGAAGAAGTTAATTTAACATCGCCTCGCCTTAAGAAAATGCACGAGCCTTTGGATTTTAAACCTTCACTTATTCAAAAAATAATCTTAAAACATCAATATGTAAATGGTAAGAAAACAGAATCAACTAATCAAAGTTATTTCCATATGAAATGAAGTTTAGAATGTTACATACCAAGTAAAAAGATGGGAGATCAAGCAGAATGCGAATCTAAACCTGATGTTATATAAGAAGAACATGACTATGCTCGCGATTAAAGAGTGATACGATGCATTATAGACCTTCAGGTATCCGGAAGAAACATATAAAGTACAAACTTGCAATATAAAAAATCTTTTTGGTTGAGAGAAAAGAGAGAGAGCTATATAGATCATTGCATGTAAGCTAATACTTATCTATGAAGATTGTAGGTGCGTGTAGAGTTTAAAGAACATGGAAACACACAATTAGAGAGTTGTTAAGAAAGCATGTGATGTTGTAATTCACGCTCGCAATAGCCAATGAATCTCCCCTTCCACCCCCCACGCGTTGCACACACCTTCACCATTGTTGTTCTTCCCATTCCTCCCCTATAAACTTCACAGCCTCCAACACGTGGCGTCAGCATTTCATCTGCGTTTAATTCCCCCCCCCCCTAGTTTTATATTAATCCCTTTTTGCCATTTGGACAGTCTTTCTATTTCTCATAAAATATAAATATCATCAGCTTGTCCTTTTTTTTTTTTTTTTTTGTAACACAGCTTGTCCTTGTTTATTAATGATGAAACACACTGGAAAAAACAAACAAACATTAAAATGTCAGGGAGAAACAAAAAAAAACAAAACAAAAACTAGTCTTGTACTGAAAGGTACCATATAATATACCTGAAATTAACATTTTCTTTGTAGTTTCCAAGGTTCCATTCATCTCTATAGCCAAAAAAAACTCTCTTATTAATCACGTAATTGTCTTATATTTTTTACAAAAACCAATCTTGTACTGAAAGGTACTATATAATATACCTGAAATTAACATTTTCTTTGTAGTTTTCCAGGTTCTAGAGCCAAAAAAAACTCTTATTTATATCATGTAATTGTCTTATATTTTTTTATAAAATTAAAAAAAAAACACAATTCCATGATTAATTCTCCTCTAAAACCCTCTCCAAACCCAATAAACAGCAGCAAAAGAGCGAGAGAGAAGTAGTAACGCATTAGTTCTCAGCGTCACCTCCATTGAAACGAAGCTCCAAGAGAAAGAGAGTAGTGTTGGTGCATCTTTACAAAAAAAACAAAACATAACCAAACCCGTACACTAAAAAAAAAACAACAACAACAACACAGACTTTTTGTTTCTGTTTTTGTTTTTGTTTCTGTTTCTTTTGTCTCTTCTCATGGTAATGACAGAACTCAACTTCCTCCCAACAATCTCCGACCGCTTCACCACCACGACAACGTCACCCTCACATTCCCTTCTCCCCCCCTCCACACACCGACGAACACGACAAAGAAACCAAACCCACCCTGTCTCCTCCGTACGCATGGACCAGTCCCGTCCCAAAACCCGTAAAGAAAAAATCGTCGTCATCCTCGGCGCCACCGGCGCCGGAAAATCCCGTCTCTCCGTCGATCTCGCCACCCGCTTCCCCTCCGAGATCATAAACTCCGACAAAATCCAAGTCTACGAAGGCCTCGAGATCACAACCAACCAGATCACCCTCCCCGACCGCCGCGGCGTCCCTCACCACCTCCTCGGCTACCTCCGCCCCGAAGACGGCGAACTCACCGCCGCAGCTTTCCGTCGCCACGCCTCCAAAACCGTCTCCGACATCACTTCCCGTAAAAACCTCCCCATCGTCGCCGGCGGATCCAACTCCTTCGTCCACGCGCTCCTCGCGGAGAGTTTCGACCCGAAAACCGATCCTTTCTCGAGTTCTGAAATCTGTCGGGAGCTTCGTTACGACAGCTGTTTCATCTGGGTGGACGTGTCGGAACATGTGTTGTTTGAGTATCTTCTGAAACGGGTGGATGAGATGATGGGGTCGGGTATGTTCGAGGAGCTTTCCGGGTTTTACGACCCGGTTAAAGCGAGTAAGACCCGGTTTGGGATCCGGAAAGCGATCGGTGTGCCCGAGTTCGACGCGTACTTCAAAATGTATCCACCGGAGAGGAGGGAGGGGATAGAGTGGAGTGGGAGGAGGAGAGAGGCGTACGATAAGGCGGTGGAGGATATAAAGGAGAACACGTTGAGGTTAGCGAAGAGGCAAGTAGGGAAGATAGAGAAGCTGAGAGAGGCGGGGTGGGATATTAAGAGAGTTGATGCAACGGCGTCGTTTAGAGCTGTTATGATGAGTTCGAGTTCGTCGTTGGAGTGGAGAGAGATTTGGGAGGAGCAAGTTTTGGAGCCAAGCGTAAAGATTGTGAATCGGCTGTTGGTGGAAGATTAGGTTAATTTTCCAGCCATTTTCCAGCTCATTTTTTTTTTGTTTTTTTGCTTTTTTCGTATGTTAAAAAAGGGGTTCGTTGGAGAGATTATTTTTCGGGGGAAAAAGGGACATTTTTTGTTTTTTTGTTGGGTTAATCTACAAACATGTAATACATATGATCTCCGCCATTTTTGGTACTCAGAAACTCCGGTTTTGTTCGAAAATGATGCGGGAAATTAAAAGAAAAATTAAAAGTCTACTTCTTGTTTTTTTTTTAGTTGAGAAAGTTCTGTTCTTTAAAATGTAAGAAAAGTTTTGATGTTTAGAAATTTAGGAGCTTGTTCTGCAGAAATGTGTATGCGAGAGCAGCGGCAAGGAGAGAGGAGCTAAACTGTGAAGTTTTTTGCATATAGCGTCAGAACAAAATAAACCTTTTTGTTGTTTTTGTTATGTCACTGGAAATTTCACATTTAATTTTTGTCTTATTTTTTTAACGGAAGTCTAGAGCTTAAACCTCAGCATAAACCAAGAATTGGTTTTGCCAAAGATACTTTTGTATATTTATTTTACGATTATTTAAGAACAGGACCTTTTGTATATTTGTTTTACGTACGTTTGGATTCACAGTTCTTCTGATATTTCAGATTTCAGGATTAAATAATCTAGACACCCATTCAAGTATATTTTTGAATTTTGAGCCAAATTGGTTCAAATCCTTTTGGGTTCATGCCAGATTCGAGTATTTATATGGGTAGATTATTCAAAAAAATATATTTAGGTTTTTTGGGTTAGTCTAGATGTTTTAACCTGAAGTACTCATTAACTACTCTGAAATCACTTAATAAATTGATATAGTTTATTAGACAACATATTACTTGAAAAATATATGATCAGATATCAATTATAAATATAGGTATTACACAATTAAAGTTACTTATTTTGGTTTCATATAGTATACTGATTCAAATTAAAAAAACAGTTATTTGTTGTCAATTTTAGGTGTTTTTAGAATTTATATTGTGAGTTTGGATAATACTAGATATCCATGTTACCATTTTACATGATCTAAATATCTTTTATATATCAGATCATATTCAGATTCAATTTTTTTGGAATAAGATTTGGTTATGATTCAGTTATACAACCTCATAAAATTCAGTTAGGATTCAGTTTAGATAATACTAAATATCCATGTTACCATTTTACATGATCTAAATATATTTTATATATTAGATCAGATTCGGATTCCATTTCTTTTAAATTAAATTCGGTTAGGATTCAGTTACACAGTCTCATATCTAATTTATTTAATAATTTTTTTTTTACAAAAATATGGTGAAAGAAAGAACTGAAATTTTGGTTTTACAAATTTTTAAAGCTCTATGAATCTTTTTTTTTTGGACAACAAAGCTCTATGAATCTACTTTTCAACATGACATAGACAAATAGTCACGTTTTGCGGCAAAACAAAACAAAAACTGAAAGAATTTATATAAGCTCTATGAATCTTCACTCTATTGTCTATGATCGTGTATAGCATTTTTTATAACAGTTCATGTAATCCGTTGGTACTATCTTAAGTTTTAAAGATATGTTTACGATGCTTGACAGCTAATGTTATAATCTATGAAATACGGATGTTCTTAAAATTTATTTCTATTAAGTTTACACTTCTTTTAAATATAGCTCTGTGTTTTAAAAATACGAATTGCCGCCATTGTGTTGTATTATTATGTGGGTTTCTTGTTGTTGCAAACATAATTTTGCAACCTGAGCCGCAATGAGTTATCAGATTCAGACAGCTCCACATACTTATTTGAAGTCGGATATGACAACTAATAGTATTAGTTAAAACGAAATCCTCCAAATCTTAAAAGAAAATCTTAGATAGATCTTATTCGACTAGTTTTTAATGATCTTGGTAATGATTCGTCTGAATTTTAAAGCCTCATTTCTGATCCAATTTATTATAATAGTATTTAAACTTCGAGTAAATCTTCATCATAATAAACATAATGAGATGATGGATTCTTATACATCTCCCACACGACTTTATGTCCCACATCTACTAGCCGTGGATCCAAACTCTAATCACAAGATATTGATGATTCTTGAGTTCTATAAGTGCATGCAGCACGTTACAATTTGAAATAAAATGATAATATTGTCTTTTATGAAAAAATGATAATTGATTTTAAGAAAATGATGATGATCTGTGATATTACACTAGGATATTATATGCGTAATGGTCGTAAGAAGAATATCCTTTGTGAATGTGACGTCTGGACGGTTTGATTTGATGTCAAAAACGTAAATGCTGTATCTTTGGAGTTCGAATCTACCATGTGTTAACACTTTCCATGGAGTCTTTGGCCACTTAGACCCTGGTTCGATCATTGTATTCGTGATTAGATACGTTAAATTAGTCGGGCAGTTCAAGAAAACTCATACTATATGGTAAACTAATTGCCATACAACGTATATTTCCTCCACTAAATATCAATATTTCCATCGATCTCTGTCACTATTTATTATTTTCTCTTTGTCCGCCAGTGTTCTTTGCAGTTTCGTGAAAGGGTCATCATTTGTGATAGTACTTGATCAGAAACCAAGACAATAATATTGGCACGTAAAGTGTTGACTGGAGGGGTTGCTATCAAAACTTTTATACCATTGATGTAGGTTTGGTCAATAATCCTATATATACAATTATTTCTTTCATTACAATCCAAGAAATGAAACAAGTACCTAGCTAATAAATTCCTAGATCTCTCTCTCATGCACAATTAGATTGTGTATTTGCCCGTAGTGTAAACCTAGAGTGAGTGGTCCCATACTCCCATATATACTGGACATGTATATATATATGTTTCAGTGGGATTTATGCATACTATATGCAAATTAACTTATATCCATGCTTGTGTTACAAAAAAAAACTTATATATATATATGCTTTGGCATTCAAGCATATTCTCTTCTTTTTCTTATAATCCGACCCTTGTGCTGCCGCGGTGTGATAACTCCAATTCGTGTATGAGATGTGATGACATAAAATGTTAGTAGGGACTTGGTGGTTCTAAAAACATATGTTGGTAATAATTAGTTACTAACAAACGTTATTTAACTCTTTTTGGAACGCATCTTTCACGTTATTTTAATTATAAAGTACTTTTTCTTAGGAGTTACCAACAGATTTTTGTTACCCAAATTTTATGAAAATTATTATTTGAAACTACTTAAATTTTGTTCACTATATATATTTATGATTTATCATAGAATGTAGACAAGAAATCACAAACTAACTTAACACGTAAATCATATGTCTTTAACTAGTGTACTAATCTGTAAAAACTTGACTTTCAGTTTATCATAATAATGATCATTCATACTTTACCGCCAAGCACAACTAGGAGTAGCTTGAAATTGGTTGCTTTCGAAGCATCGTAGCAACTAGCAACAGGGGCTAAATCCATTAAGTTGTCTCTATCAGACATAATAGCGCAACCTTCTGATTGATTTAAATGCAAGTGGGAGAATGAGAACTCTTCTTTTTTCAAGAACCTGTCTTGTAATTTATGATAAAAAAAGAAAGTAAATTCATAAAGCTTGATAAATAAATAAATAAATAAGAAATCGTTTTTGGCTTGACCCAAGGTGGCCTAGTGTTTAGAATCGTTCGTGTTTAGGATCTCCTGATCTAGACGTTCAATTTAAAGCCAGGATCTATAACCATATATTAAGAAAATGGAACAATGAATTTTCTTGATTATAAGTTCTGATGACACCGAGTAGTTTGCTTCGTAATACTTGCTTAATCCTATTTGCGTCTCGTGATTGGAACTTGGAAGGAAGCTTCTCTTTATCTCCAATCTGTCTAAATGCATGCAAATGACAGCTTTGCATCAAATGAAAATATAATTATAACTTCTATGAGATTATTCGATCTTTATTATATGCAATAAGGTCTACGATCAAAGTACGGACATCTTCGAACCCTATTATAATCCCTGTTTGGTGGCATTCTATTTTGTATATACACATACGTTCTTTGTACATTTCTGCATGTTTAAAGTCAAAAACTCTTTTTTAATAAAGTCAAACCTTAATAGTCAATTAACCTTTTCAAAAGAATAAAATATTTAAATCAAATAGTTATGGTATAGCGTATGGTTGCAACATCCGACTTGGTCGAATTGTTGTGTATACAGTGTTGTGCATCTTCGTTAAAATGTTTTTTTTTCCTCTTAAAACGATCTCCAATAAAATATTAACAAATACAAAGACAATTATCAAGACCACTCGCCAAGTCTTGTATTCGAGTCTGGCTCACGACTATACAGTATAGACTATAGAGTAATGATCGTGTAGACATTGGGAGTCCCAATGTGGTATACTACATATCTGCAGTTTCTCTGCTTCTCACATTTTTCATGATTTGGACGGCATCTGCTTTTATGTGCAAAAGAAATACACACATACAATATTAATTACGCATATAGGAACACCAAATTCGTCTTAACATCGTTAACGAACCCAGGACATTTTTTTTTTACCTTTTAAATTTATATTTATTTTAGATTTTAAATAGGTTTTTAGCTTTAAAAAGTTAAACATTACTATTTTTTATTTGTGATGAAAAAAAAAATTATACTTATAAAATAATCTTGAGTCCCTTATTATTTATAAAATTTAAAATTTCCTGTCTAAAAAATATAGATAAGTAATTTTTTCTCCTAGTTGTTATGCCATTTTTTTTAAAGAAAATAGTCGACACTGATTCGCGATATATGAAAATACGAATAAAAAAGAAATTTGTTTATCTTTTTAGAAGGGAATCTTCACCACTAAAATATCAAATTATTAAACCAACAAAAATTGACACATATCCATATATTTTGAATTTAAATATTAAAAATCATTAAAATATAAATATAAAACAACATAATATTATGTAATATTTGAAGATAAATTCTACAAAATTTTATGATTATATTCTCCTAAGAATCTAATATCATCTATAAAACTCTTTGGCAAACTTTTGATAAAAACTAAAATCTTTTAAAATTCTGTAAACTGTTTTAATTTTAAAATCATCAAAATTCATTTAAAATCACACACCAATAACAACCCCTTAAATACTATGTTAAAAAGTTTTAACAAGTTGAAAAACAAACACTAGAAAAAAAGAAACAAGAGACACAAAAACATATTCAGCAAATAATCAAAGTGGTAATATCACAAATAAATTTAAATATAATAAAATTGATAAATAAATAAAAAGAAATAGACAAAGTGGTAAAAGAAAAAAATAAATTTATAAATAAATACATAAAAAAAATTTGATAGTCTAAAATAACTTAAAATATTAAATATCGGTGTTAAAGAAATTGGTAGGCGCTAGATGAACATAGACTCAACTTCTAGCATCTATAACAATTAATCATAGAATTAGATTATTAGTTAGACGGCTTATGCGTTTATAAATTCTAAAATATACTAAAAATATATTGAATGTATGTTAAATTTTATTATTGACAAATAATAAAATTTATATTCTTTTATTTTCATAAGATTCTACACTATGATATATTAATTATTATAATTTCTGAGTAATAAATTATATATTATTTATTGTTATAATATTATAATTTTTTATTCAACCAATTGTGGGTCTAGCATTTAGGAGTAGTCTAAGACTCTAAACAGACTCCTAGAACACCTATGTTAAGTATTCACAGACTAAAAATGTATAAAATTAATTGGTTAACGTGTGAAACCTTAAGCTTAAAATCTCTACCAGGTGATCCATGCACATTCAGAATAGCTTTATCTCGCTCATGTTTTTTCATTAAATCCCAATGAATCCTCTTGCCCTTTGAGTGTTTTAGTTTCAAAGTTCATGTTGCATTGCATTTTTTTATTTGATTGCTCATATATGAAAATTTGCCACAAATATCATCTGCCATGTTAATCATATATATATACTAGCTTACACGACTTATCTAAGATTTCGTACTTTTGAACATACCTTTTTAGTTTGGGATGTTTGGAATGATTGGTTGGTGTTAGTTTTGTGGACTGTTTCTGTATAACGTGTGACTGATAGGGGCTATCTCCACTCCTACAACTGAAAAAGATCACTTGTCACTTCCCTCACAGTCGCTGATGCGACTTTGTAGCTACCTTTATCTTATTAGATCTTGAAATAAACGTGCATTCTATATGATAAAGAGGTAAAGAGTGTGTGTATGTGTATTCTTATTCCCTTGAAAAGAGTTCATATACATGTACAAGAGTTATGCTAAACCTAGATACCCAATCTATTATAATGCAAGAGTTATGTGCAGAAATTTCTTCATACATAAACGATTGTGCTTTCTATCTATATTCTCTCTTTTATTTTTCTTAAAAAGAAGTTTGTTAAAAATCTATGGTGAGAGATCACCAGTGCAAGTGCCCTAAGTGTATTTTCTAACTTCTCAATAGCTAGTTAGATACAGTACATTTTTAAGATTGATGTTGAGATTTTTCACTTTATTTTATGATATTAAATTGGTAATAATTAGTTACAATTTACATGCTTATTTTTTTACTAAAAGACTGGTGAATTTAAAAACACCTAGCAACTAGCGAGTATGCCAATGTCTAACCAAACATCCACACATATCTTGGAATTATGTCACGAAGACAAGGGAAGTAGTACATTTGTGTGTCGTGATTCGTGAATAAGAAAATGACATGCGTGATCATATGTTCCTATTGACGAGAGGAGGAATGTTGTTGCTTGAAGCAAGTAATAAATGTTTAGAAATAATTCACAAGTAAATAGGCACCACTTAATAGTTTATACTATATAACAAGTAATATTGAGAGGGACAACGAACAGACAAAACAAAGGAACACAGAACAGTATTACAGTAAAAGATGCGGGAGATCCAAGGAATGTAAGAAGAAAGGCCAAAACTATCGAAAATTAAATAGTTCCTTATTCTATTAAATTAATTTGATTTTCTTTCCCGAAGCATAACAGTTTGCTTCCATCGAAAAATATGGCAGGGCCTAAAGAGTAGAACACTTACATCCAAATGTTTAGCTACACGATGCGAAAGTGCGCGTGCGGTGCCTTTGCGCATGATCTTATAATCCCGATGCCTCAGCTTTTCACTCACCAAGTCACCATTTTATAATATTATCATGTTGTTCTAAGTTGTATGCTTTACTTTGGGCTTCAATTCTATGGGTTTAGTTCCTACGGCTACTATTTTAAATATGAGCCCATTTTTTTTTCTTTTTTTTTCAACACCTGCCTGTTTTCTATCTAAAAGCTGTTAGATTCGTAGATTAGGTTTAAGCTATTTCAATAGATGAAAAAAACTAAAGTTAAAGCTAAAGCAGAACAGTGAAAACAATTAACGGTTGCTACGAAGGATTAACAAATCTTTGACGAGATGACCGGTTGATGAATGATAACTATCAAATCGATGTGCCTAATTCATTTTCTGTTCTTAAATTCATCCTTTGTGTGGGTGTGTAAAAGCCTTTGTTAACACCGTTTGAATCTAACTCTGTGAGATATTAAACCTGAAATTTAAATATATTCCCCATAAATTATTTATTATAATTGGAAATAAGTTTGGGTTTGACCTTTTTAGGAAGATAGATGCCTTCTGAACTTCTCCTTGTCTGAATTAACGATAGCAGTTATGCTATGTTTCAGCATTGTTATTTCGAGACAACTATTTTGGTTTGCTATTCGTTTTTTGTACTAAAAGGCTTTTGACTTTTTGATAAACAATTAGAGTTTACAAGTCTTCGAATTTCCTGGCGTCACATCATATAACTATCATTTACTACATAATTAGTGCGTGGACTATTTTTTGTAATGTATTTGTATGTAATTCTATGTTGCTTTGTTTATTCTTCGCAAATAATATAGTTTATGCACATAATATTCAGAACAGTACAATGTCGTTGAATAATCATTATAAAACACAACAATTTGGGGGAGAACAAATAGATTAGTGGTTGAAGCAGACTGTAAGTGGGTTTAATTAAAAGAAGCCGAGAGTTTTGAACATTTGTAAAATTTCTTATTGCGTAAATGGAGAGAAGTGAAGCTGTTTCAACCATATGCAGCCAACTTTGCATGGTCACAGCAGTAATATTCAAAGTTCAAAGATGAACAAAAATAAAGAACTCTCTATCAAAATTAATTATATTTTGTTTTGGTTACGATCTACCATTTTTGAAATGATCAGTACAACCATAAAATTATTTTTATAAATAAACATTTTAAAAGGTAGATTCAGATTAATACAGAAGAAGTTTGCAACTAAAATTTTAAAGGAATAAGAGATTTAGTATTAAGCTTTTGAGAAATAGTGAAAATCTATTTCTTAGAAAATTAAACTATTTAATAAGCATGATATGCATGAGCCATGTCATGTTGCTATTCAACGAGAACGACCGGTCGTTCTACTTCAAAACTATAATGTTTTTAAAGTCAACGGTCCGAATCGTTGGCTCTAATAGAATATGATTTTATTTTAATTATTCTTACACGCATATATAATTCGAACTTATATATAATCAGTTTAATGAATGTCTTGTCCGAATACACAAAATCAATAATCTCAATTTATCTTCAAAAGCTTTCCGTGATCTTTACTCCACCTCTCTATTTACCCATTCTCTTGATACTATTCAAGTACTCATCATGATTCCTACAAGATGCCATGAGATCATCGGCTCTCGTCCTCCGTCTCAAAAACTCGCCGGAGAATCCCACTCCATCAAGAAAACGACGTCATGCAACGTCGTGAAACAGTCACGGCGACGTGGACGGGGAGCTCCAGTAATCATCTACGCGCACTCTCCAAAGGTGATCCACACGCGTGCTGAAAATTTTATGGCCTTGGTTCAGCGGCTCACGGGTCTGGAGGAGATTAGAAGGCGGAACCCTAACGACGTTAGCGAATCATCGTTGTCAGTGTTAACGACGGAAGATGACAAAAGTTGGGAGAGGCATCAACAACGTCAAAACCTAGCTGATATTCCATTGTATACGCCAAGCTCGATGGTCTTGTTTTGTTCTCCAACTCAACGTCTTTATCTGTCACCGAACCGGACCGATCTGGTTTAGACCCTCGGTTTACATGTTCATAAAAGACTTCCAATAAAATACTTATATATGGTTTTTTCCATTAGATAAATATTGCTTTATTAATTTGTTCATTCGTGTGTTCATCCGTTCTTAATAAGCTGGTTCATTTAGTGGAGAAATAATTGGTTGATTTGAAACGTATCAGGTTTGGAAAAGTTGTTATTTTCGTTTTTACGGCAGTTTGAAAGAAAAATACAAAATAACCGCGAGTTTCTTCCAACACCTCGTACTGGATTATATGAACAAAATGACAGTATGATGCCGCAAAGAATGTTGCTACAGAATAATTTGGTCGTATATCGCTTAAAATTGTTGCAAAATCTTGGTTATTTGAAATGGATTAGTGATAGACGTTTGGAGATGGATATACGTCACCTTGATTTTTCTGCTGCACATGGACGACCAAGTGCGATTGCAGCTGAGCTCACCAGATGAAGAGGTGCCGTCTTAAATCAGTCCTGACATTTTGGTGTCTGATAAGATTTTTTTTGTGATGGGAATATCCATCGTATATCTTTGTTGAAATATTATGCCAGCGATATGTTAAAACAATTTTTTTTGTGGTAGCGTTACGGGTTCCATTATAGTTTTTTTGTTTATTTAGGTAAGATAACTTTTTTTCCTTCATTTTCTTTGGATTTTCAAGTTTATGCAGAAAATAATTTACTATAACACTGTGCAAATATTCTATCACGCAGTATTTTTCTTATTGATCGATTTCTGTTGTCTATTAAATTATTTTAATGTAAAATATAGAAAATAAATTCCGATTATTTTAAATTTTAAATTATTGGTATTCTTTTATTTTATCTTCTCAAAGATAGTACTTGTGCTAGCAGAAAGAAATGTAAAATTGGCTGATGATGGCGATGAAAAAATATGTAAGATGTTGCAATGGTGGGAAAACATGTTAAATTGGTCGCCATCTTCAAAAAATGTAAAAGAGTAATTGGAAACTTGGAATAATTATTCTTATTTGTTTTTGAATAATTTTTATATTTGTAGATCTAGAAAATCTAAAATAAAAGTAAATATTCTCTTTCTTTTCATAAGTTTCTTGGTTTATAATATCTAGAGTTATAACTTTCAAGGTCAAAGTAAATCAGCATATGTATGAGTAACATTTTTGTTTAAGTATTCATATTTAACATTTTTTTGAGAGAGCCAACTTATGGTTATAAAATTTTCATTTTTATTGTGTGATATTCATATAGAAAATAATGAAAGTACAATATTTATGTAATTTATATATTTTTTTAATTTTTTTGCATAGTTAATGGGAATGGTCTATAATTTGTAGTTTGACCAAAAAAAGGCCTATAATTGTAGTTTTGTCCACATTATTCATCCGAAACTGATATCGTTAGTAGAGGCATTAGCCCAATTAGTAACTGAAATATATTTCTATGTTCGTTAAGATTCAGGGCCCATTCCAAAAATTTACTCTAGACGATATAATCACGATCCTGAACTTATCTTTTTGCAACACTACTTATCACAGTCCTAAACTATTTTGGGCTAGTTCGATTAATGACTATATTGAAGAAAATATTTGATATGTAGTAGAGTATATAGAGATAGAAAGAGAAAAGAAAAGAGAAGGGGTGATATGGTTAGTTACTTAGTTGGTAAAGTATATTTTTTGATTATATGATCAAAATTCCAAACTATTTTTCACATTCGTTTATAGTATAAACTCTATGGTTTCCTCATTCCTGCATGCACTTTCAACAACTACCATCACAATCACACACCGGCCGCATGAACAATCTCAACCTTGATTATATGTATTTAGCTTAGTGGTGTTGTGATTATGATTGAGATTGTTCATACGGCCGGTGTGTGATTGTGCTTCTGTGCTACTTAAGTTCTCTCTATCAAAATAAAATATTTTCATTTTACTTGTTTCTCTTTTTGGCGTGCTTCTACAAGAAAAATACGAGGACCATATATCATCACCGCAAATGACAAATATCTCAACTTCTTTCCAGTGGGTTATTCACGCAATAGGAAAGCAGATTTTTCAGTTTTTCCAAACGATTTTCTTTTCATTTTTTAATAAAAAATATTGTTTTTCTTTATAAAATTCATAAATCTCCAAATTTTATTTTCGTATTGATTACCAAGATTTCAAGTTTACATTCCAATTACTTTTCTTCATTTTTTAAAAAATATTTCATAAATAAGGAGTCTCAAGTCAGATAACTTATTAGAAAATTAAATTAAGTACAAAAAAGAGATATTGGGAAAAGTTCACGAGATGCTTATATATGCTAATTATATGGATCACATGGGAATGTTTCATATACATATCAATAAATTTTGAAAAGCATAATTGGTGTAGTGGTTGATCCAGTGATTATTAATATGTAATTTTGTAGTACAGTACTCCTAAAGTTGTGATAGTTTTTTTGTCTCAGTATTTCAATTTCTTTTGGAAAGAGTATTTTAAAAAAAAAAAAACATAGCAGTTCCTCTCATAATATAGAAGCAATCGGGTGTAACTAAACTGTAAAACTTAAGCATAATTTGTTAAATGCTTGGAGAGAACGGTTTGCGTGAAAATGTGAACCACACGAATAGAAGAAACGTGAATTCCAAAAGCAAAGAACTGTTCAACATAAAGCAGCGAAATTAAATCTCCTAAATATTAATACATTATTATATTCCACTCCTCAAACGAGGAATGAAGTTAAATGATAGGTTATGAAAAGTTTATTCAACACGCGAATATTGTGGAGGATGCCTTTGAGAGATATCTCAGAGGATGAACCTGTGAATAGAGAGATGAGACACTTGCAGTTGGAATGACATACTATGTCTTTACAACCAGAGGCAAGAGCCTCCTTTAGAGCTGACTTAAGACTCGTTACCAAGAGCAGAAGTAGCGTATTGACGGCAACCGGTTCCATCCTTGATCTTGTTACATGTAACAGATTTAAAAATCCATCCAAAACTACAAGCACTAGAGGTCAAGCACCAATTAGAAGCATCAGAATAACAGTGTATCCGATTTGGGCTTAGCTGCCTCATTGTGTTCCACGAGCAGAGTAGATTGTGTGGTCTGAATTGGTTTTCCATCTGACTTAACTGTCTTATTGTAAGTACTATTAAATCGTCTACATCCCTAAACACTTGAAGCTGGCTATGATACGAAAAAACGTGGTTTTCGCTTATAGATTCTTAAATTAGTAAACATTAAGATTAAAATGAAGTATAATAAATTAATAAGTATCTTGTTTTGCAAAGTCTGGTGGGTTTACCTAAGTTTTTCTTGTTCTTATTAGATTAGTACTAAAAACGCAAATAGTGTGACTAGTGCTAAAATTAGAGGAGAAAACAATAAAAGGAATTCAACAGAAATAATGGAGAGTGATGATAATTGTAAATATTTTCTCACCTGTATTGGAATTTTTGAATAGGAAATTAGACTTACTGAACATAAAAACATACAAATTAATTAATTAACCAAAACTACCCCCTCACACCTACTTTTTTATCTTATATATCTCAAACTTTGTTTTGAAAAATTAATTTCTAATTTTTTGTTATTTGGTAAATAAACCCTTTTTAAATTCTTGTTTTGCTCCCGAGTCTTGGTTTTCTCATGGAATTAAAAAAAGAATCTCACTCTCTTTTGATTGGTAAGATTAGCATGAAACTATATTTAGACCACATTTTCAGCTAGATGTTCCACCAGTCCTACTCTTAGCCATACTTTCACGATGATATATATATATATCTTCACAATTGTTTTTTTAACCATAGTGGTTTCTGCCCTATACTATATTTTAATCTCGTAATTATTATTTATTTCAAAACCTTTTATAAACTCGTAACCGGCCACATTACTGACTTCAGATTATGAGCCACTCACTTCAAGTGAAGTAACCGACCAAACCAAACTGACGACAAAAATTAAATACCTTTTTATATAAAATCATATGAGGTTGATTTTATTAAATTTTAGAATAAAGTTCGAACAGACAAAACACACAAATTATTTACAAATGCTTGTCGTTCTCGTTTAAACATTTTGGCATTTGAATCTTTCGCCGTCTTTAATTTATAAACGCAACCGTCCCAATCAAATCTTAAATATTTTCCTTACTTCCTTATGATTGTTAAAATTAGCACGACAGCTTTTTCCACCATTTTCAGCCATAGTTTTACGACATTATATTCTCAATTTATTTCAAAACCTATTAAAAACTTGCAACCGGCCTCATTGTTGGCTTCGCATTATTGAGCCACTCTCAGTTAATTAACCGACCAAACCAAACACTGGAAAATATACTAAATCATTTTATATAATTTTATAAAATCAATGCTGATTTTATTCAAATATTAAAATAAAAACTGACGAGAATCAAACCATACAAATTATTTACAAAACGTTCGGCGTTCCCGTTTTAAACATTAATCGCGTTTGAATCTTTTTCGCCGCCATTTAATTTATAGACGCAACCGTCTCCCAATCAAATCTTATAATCACCGCTTCTCCTCAACGAAACCATCAGCGTCCCACCAAGTCTCACCGTCACATTCCGTCAACACACCGTTAAACTTCCTCAAGTCTCCCACGGCCACTTTCCCGCTTACGTCATCCCTGACGTACAACTTCTCCACTCCTCCGACGTCAACTCCGACTATATTCCCGAGAAACCTCCCCGGCTGCCTCCACTCCGCCAGCAACGCCGGCATCCTAAATCCGACACGTGGATCACACGCCTCAACTTTCACGGCGTCCCTCCCTCTCTTCTCCGCCGTCAAGAAAAACGACGGCGCCGCCACCACATTGCTCCGTCGACCATCACCATCTCCGTCGTGGTCTCCGCCGTCGATATCCATATGATCCCAAAGCTTCACGACACCGCTCGACCCGATGCCACCGAGGTCCGGCCACGAGAACAAATCTCCGAAACTACCATTAAAACAATTGAAATTACCATTTTGCCCCTGGTCGTTATTATTGCCGTAATAATCAGACCCTTTCACGCGGAAGCCTCCGTTGACCCATCCTTTATTATAGATAAAGTCAACGTCTTTCTCGTCTTCATCCTCATCATCATCTTCTTGATCATCATCTTCGTCGTTGTCCGAAGAGACCGAGGAAGAGCAAGAAACATCGGAGTCGCTGTCGTAATCATCGAAAAGAGTTGGTGGAGATATTGAGACATCGATTTTTCGTAACCTAACAACTAAACTCTTGAGTCTTGTAATGAAATTTGTGAAATAAGCTAAAAATGCGATAATTAAAGCTCCCCATTTCCAGAAACCGTATGCTTGGTGTATTAATCCGGAAACAGCAACAGATCTAGAGAGAAACGATGGGTCGTTTATTGAGCTCATGCCCACTTCAAAATCTCTTATAATATTAATCATTGGAACCTCCATGACTGAAAAATAAAGGCTTAATAACGTTTTTTTTTTGTTAAAGAGAATATGGTTGAGAGGAGGAAGAAGAAGAGGGATGAATAACCACAAGATGGTGGTCTAGTGGTAGGCGAGCTTTGGGATTTGCTAAGCAACCCGGGTTCGAAGGCACCCCACTACATCTTATCTTGTGGCCACGCGGATATGGGCCTATCTTACGGCCCATTTGAATACCCGGAGTGAGGGTCCATCCGTGGGCTGCACCACCCCTTTGGGGATTAGTCTAGGCCTCTCCATGGGCCTGGGATACCCCCAAGGTTAAACAAAAAAAACAAAAAAAAAAAAAAAAAAAAAAAAAAAAAAAAAAAAAAAAAAAAAAAAAAAAAAAAAAAAAAAAAAAAAAAAAAAAGAAGAGGGATGAATGCAAGAGACGAAGTAAGTCTTATAAACAGAGAGATGAGGAGGAAGGTAACTAGTGGATGAGCGTGACAGTTTTAGGGGAAAAGTGAGGAAGATAAGGTAACAATCACAATGAGTTAACTTGTGACAGATGGAATCTATGTGTCTATCATTAAAGTGTTAAAACTATTATCTCTCTGCACCACAATAAAAAACAATTTTTCTTGTTTTTTCGGTGTTATTTTAGTGATTAAAATCATAAATACATGAGTAGTTCGAACCACCTAACACAATATAGCTTTATTTTAGTATTTGCAATTTTTTTTTTGCCTTCACAATAATTGAATTGAGGTTTGGATTTGAGGCGCCCAAAATAATTGTGTTGGTGGTGGTTAACTTTGTTTAAGAGGATCATTGAGGTCTCAAAGAATAGATCTTTTTGTTTTTTCTTATGAATATTTAAAATAATAATATGATTTATAATATTATATGACAACTCATAAAATATGACAACTGTTTCCCCCCATATATAAATATATAATTTCTTATCATTTTGTATAAAGGAAATTTCATTTACAAAGATACTTACAAGTTACAAGTATAGAAAGTAAGTTTGACTATCACATTGATATCTGCAGTGATTGAATTTAACTTTATCTTTAAAGTATGGCACAATAATAATTTATCATATTAAGCTGTAAATTATTGTTGAAAAAATTTTAGATTACAAAATTTTGGAAATATATCATTATTGTATGGGAAAATCAGAATTTTGTATTATTTTAAAAACAGAGAAAGGGTCTCTTGTGGACCCGGTCTGAGACAATCTCGTGTTGTAAGAACAAAGGCATGTTAACCACAGATTTCCTGCCACGTGTCTCTCTCCTGAACGAGCGGGAAAACGAAATAGCATTTATAGGCATTACTTGTAAGTTGATTCCTACCAGCATGAGCTGGAGATAGATTTGGTCCAGATGAATCACAATAAAAATTTATATGGTTAGATGCACGCCACGGTTTCTTCTACGAGAAGGCAACATCATCAGATCAAATCTTTACTTAATAGGTGATTAGGGGCTTTACGTTTTCATCTTGACTTAAAACTTGTGTGTTCAACAAAAGAATTCAAAGCAAAGTCTATTTTGTTTTACTAATGTAAATTGTGGACTTTTCTTTTTGGGATAGAAGAGTTAAGAGATTTTAGTGCAACTTGTATTTTGAAGATAAGAATTTTCAAGAGCTAAACAAGCTTATCCTCTCATGATGGTACATTACCCTTACACACCGAATATGCCAGAATGGTGACTTTACTCGTTCCAATCCGTTTATTAGTGAAACTGATGGGGTATATTCTTCTACCCTAAAAATGTAAATGCATAAATGGGTTAAATTTTAAGGTATTGAACGGGTTACTACACTAATAATGTGTTACTGACTTCTAAGGTATTGAACATGGATTTTATGTTACTCGTTTAATTATAGAGTAATGTGTCATAAACTCATGAATTTATGATTAAAAATATTTAACATAGCAATGTAACATTATTGTAGTATGTAGTAAGATTCATATTAATATTTATCATCGTTGTCATTTTATATGATCTTTTTATTGAGATAGAAAATTGTTAAATTATTGAAGCTTTGAATGATTACTCTACGATGCAGCATAGTGAATGTAATGAATAGTAGAAAAAAAAATAAAAAATTATACTATCTGCTTAGATAAGATGGTATGAGGGTAACTATTTATTTAACACATTTTTGTTAACTCAGTATAGGATAATCATTCAGAAGAAGTATACAATATTACAATATGATACAATGTTGATAATGATATGAGTTGATTATTATGCATGGCAATAATGTGGAATCAAGTTGAGAAGCATGTTGTAAAGTGAAAGTGCAAGAAAAGTCATCCATTCAAATGATTTTATGATTTGGATAGGAGAATGATCAACGAACGAATGTAAATGTTTTTGAGAAAACTCTGAAAAGGAGAAGCCATCAATTTGACAGCTGGAAAAGGTTTCAGAGTTGGGCCAAACGAGTTTCAAAGGAGACCCAAATTCAACGCCCCACTTTGATTCATTGTTGATCCATATCAAGCAAATCAAATTAAATCTCTCCTGCCCGCCAATCAGATGAAAATCCTTCCTCTTTTGTTTTGTTTTGTTTTGCTTTGTTTTCAGCCTAATCAATTCAGATGAAAACACTTTCGTTGATTAATTTTGACTTTTAACAGAAACGCAGCTCTCGAACCATAAGAATAAACACATCACTATACTTAGGATGTTAACTAAAAGACTTGGGCCCGGCCCAGCCATATATGATATAAACCCAATCTTATTTTTTGTTTGTCAACAACCCAAATTTTTTTTGAATCCTAACCTATACATGAATGTTTTTTTCCCTTAACAACTATACATGAATGTCTAATCTTTAATAACATATTTTAAAAAAAAAATTACTACATGAAGTTGTGTCTTAGGTAATATTTTAGTTTTATGCAAATTATAAGTATATTATATCAATTTATCTTCATTGTACTTAATTAATTTATTTTATTTTTCAATGTACTTAATACTTGATATAGTACAATGCTTCTATGCTAACATCAATATATTATTACAAATAAATATGTTATAGATTTGAAACATAAGTTCTTGTGCAGAAATAACTCCTCAACTCATATTTTTATGGCGAACTTTTCTGAAAATCAATGGCATTTGAAATAACTATTAGTCATCAAAATCATAACAGATTTTTTTTTTTTTTTTTCTTTTTCAAAACCATAAAAGATAATGTGTCTCATTCCAAAACACAGTAAGAAGACAAGAATATTTAAAGCTAAAAAGATGAATCCAAGACCAGAACACATGGCCCTCATCAGCTCTCACGTTTTTTTCTCTCTTTCGGTATATGCACATTGAAGAAAGCAAAAGTGCAAACAACATGAAAAGAAAGAGGAAGCGAATAAAACATAACACTTTTTCTTTTTCAAAATTTTCAGCAAAGACCATCAATAATGACAACATTTGGAATTTCATTGGAAAATACGTCCTTAAGCTCCACAAAAGAAAATTCAATTCAAAGCACGCACTTTTGAGTAGAGAGACTGCTTTCAAAATAATAAAAAAAAAGACAAAAGTGTTTTTTTGCGTTTGATTCTCACTTGGAAAACAGCTATAATAACGAGGCACGTTGTTATATTTATTTTAACTTAAGTTTTTCAAATTTCCAAAACCAATGGCGACGCTGCAGAGATTCAAGTTCCTAGCAACGCAGTGTGGAGTGGCACCGAGCCCGACACGAAGTCCAAGCCCAAGGACAAGTCCGTTGGTTCAGTTTCGTCGCAAGAAGACAACCTTAAAGATGCTTTTGAGTCTTATACCACCGAGCCGCAGAGAGCAGCCGCTCATTCATCAGCAGGGCCGCTCCTTGGCTGCTGACAAGGACGTAGCTGGACGCAAACTGCGAGACTTATTCGTGACTTCGTCTCCTGTAGAGGAGAAAGAGACAAGGAAGGGGAAGACAAAAGAAGAAGTTCTTGCAGCTATGGAAGCTAAACTGAGAGCAGGTGCTAGTTCACAGGCACCGGTTTGGTTTGGATTCAGCAAGCGGCTTCTCCAGCGAGCTTGGCGTCCTAAGCTTGGTACCATTCCTGAGTAACGTATAAACTAGTTTCTAGTCTTTTCTTATGTGGCACTCAAAGCCAATTTGGAAACCATTTGTTTCCTCTATGAACAAAAATATAATTATGCTTTTTTAAAATCTCATGTCTTGGCAACAAATCATTAGTTTGAATATTCCGAATAAAGAATTGAACAAACTTTTACATTGAAAACTCCATGATCAGAAACTAGTGAGAGATCATGAAACATTAAAGCTCTTAATTCGCTCATTAGTACTTTTTGTGTGTAAAATGTTGGTGTAGTATTTTTTTTTTGAGATTATGATTTTAGATCCCTATATTTTTCTTATGTAGTATTGCATTTTTTTCCCAAAATGTATTTGTGATACTGAGAAAATTATTGATCGTAGAGAAAACCTTTGGTAAAATACCACACAACATAAAGAAAAGAGAACCATAGGTCCATAACGTCTGTTCTAGACTTCTAGTTAAGACGCACTAAAATAGTAAAGAAAGAAACTAAAGACTTATTTGGTACAAAAAAACTGAACATGTTGAGTAACAAGACTTACCATAATCTTGTTTTGACAACACAAAGTGGATGAGTTGCAATAGATACGAAGGCTCCACACCAAACAGAAGCTATCATATCTTCTCCCATCCTTGCTCACGAGAAAATTAACAAACATACAATATTAAAAGTAAAATCATGATGAAGCACAATCAAGAAAAAAGCAGATCGGTAATCATTGAGAAGCATAGGCAACTCATATCCTCAAAGAGCTATGAGTTGATGGTTGGTGAAATGCTTCAATACATTCTCCTAACACCTTTATTCTTCTGTATATTCCCTAAGCTTGTAATTATCACACTATCTGGTAGATGTTTTCAGATGATAAGAGATCTCTGTAAAGCGTAGGCAACTCATATCCTCAAAAAGAAAAGAAAAAGATGTATTGAGAAGTTTCTTGATCTCGTCTTGCTCATCAAGCTTCCGCATATAGTATAACAGTATAACACCACCTGCTTCAGCCTTTCAGCTTCTTCAAGGTACTGCAAAATAGTATAGAAAAGAGTTTTCGAAACTCAAAAGAAATAAACATAAAAGAGACTTTATGGTTTTGGTGTTTCACATATATTTATCTAGCTACAAATGTTTGTCTGGCGTTTGGTTGGAGATAAATGTATTCTATTTGTAAGATATGTTTAAGATATTTGTGTTTCTTGAAGTGTGTTTGAAAGTTATTAGCTAATAGCTTCACAACTAATACACAACAACAAATTTTCTGATCATTATCCTTAGAACATTGCATTTGATGCTGGAATTATAGGTTTGATATCTGAAGAATATAATCAACTTCTTACAGGTAAATCATTGAAATGCTTGATAATTGATAATCCCCTCTTGTAAATACGTATCTCTATTTGGCTCATACGATGATGTATTTTACTTGGATTAGCCTTCTGCAGCTAATGAGATGTTCTTAGTAACAATATGGAGTGGTTGTACCGACCAAAAGCATCTTCACCTACCAAAAGCTTAAGCATAATTGCATATGCTAATGGGCGACTTTGCCTTATTATAACAACCATCTAACTTTTTTCTAGTAATCCATAACCATATTTTATATGCTCCATATTTATAATTATTTAATTAGTAAACAAAGTTTGATTAATTTAGCATCCCAAACACTAATCTTATCGGTTGCTATAATAGAGGTTAACTACGTAGCCATCATCATATATATAAGTGTGTGTGTGTATTATAGTGTCCAAGTGAGACTATAACTTTGCCAACCATGGCATTAAACGTAATCAAGACCTCCCGAATCAGCCCTGCAACCACCTTACTCGAACCTCTCATTCTCCCACTCACTTTCTTTGATCTCATGTGGCTAAAACTCAACCCCACCGAGAGAGTCACCTTCTACAGACTCACCGAGGCATCATCTCACGAAGCCTTCTACTCTATGATCCTCCCCAAACTCGAGAGATCCCTTTCCCTCACCCTCACCCACTTCCTTCCACTCTCCGGCCACCTCAAGTGGAACCCACAAGATCCAAAGCCCCACATCGTTGTCTTACCACAAGACGCTGTCTCTCTCACAGTGGCCGAGACTAACGCTGATTTCTCTCGTCTCTCCAGCAAAGGGCTTCGTCCTGAGACTGAGTTACGCCCTTTGCTACCCCCTGACTTACATGTTTCCTCTGACTCGGTCTCTGTTGTTTCTTTACAGATCACTCTCTTCCCAAACCAAGGGTTTTGCATCGGAACCAAAGTCCACCACGTGGTCATGGACGGAAAAACTGGTTCAAAGTTTCACAAAACATGGGCTCATATATGTAAACATGGAACCATGACAACACCTCGTGATTTTATTTTACCTACGCTTTTGGATCGTTCGGTCATTAACGTACCATCAAGACTTGAACAAAAGGTTCTCGAACTAATGTCGGACAAAGACAGCTGCCTAAAGCTGTCTCCCTGCAAAGAGTTATACGACGACGTTTTCCGTATCACGCTAGACGTGAGTCAAGAAAACGTTGATAAACTCAAGGAGAGAGCCAAGAACGAGTGCTCTGATGATCTTCACTTGTCAACGTTCGTTGTAACGTTCGCTTACGTGTGGACATGCATGGTGAAGGCACGTGGAGGAGGCGAACCAGACCGACCGGTTCGGTTTAGGTACGCTGTTGATCTAAGAAACCGGTTAGTCCCATCAGTTCCCGAGACCTACTTTGGAAACTGTGTCATACCCATCGTGTTAGGTGAATACAAAGCGAAGATGTTTTTGGGAGAAGATGGATTCTTGAATGGTGTCAAGATTCTTAGTGACTCGGTCAAAGGTTGTGGTTCGAGAGGGGTTGAGTCATTATGGGAGCAGTACGAGGAAGGTAAAAAAAACTTGAAGATGGGTACACAAGTGTTAGCTCTTACCGGGTCTAACCAGTTTGGGATATACGGGTCGGATTTTGGGTGGGGAAGACCCGTTAATACCGAGGTTATGTCTATTTATGGGAACAATATGTTCTCTATGTCGGCGAGGAGGGATGGAACTGGTGGCGTTGAGATTGGTGTTGCTTTAAAGAAATGTGAGATGGATGTTTTTATTTCTTTATCCACAGGTGGATTGTAGATTTTTGATTACACATACATAATATTTTGTTATGTGAGTGTTTTCATTTATAATTAATTTTAAAACATAAATCATAACTTATTATATTAGTTTAAATTAATAAAATATAGACTAATAATAAATTGTACGAAAATTATGTCCGTATGTGTGGGCAAAACACCTAGTATATCATAATTCATTATATTTATTTGAATTAATAAAATACAGACTAATAATAAATTGTACGAAAATTATGCCCGCATGTGCGGGCAAAACACCTAGTTCCTAGTAATTATTGCAACTAACATGATGGATTATATATTCTGTAAGAGGTTATAAGAAATATAATTTATTCAGAACCGAAGAACTGAAACCAAAACAAACTAAATTTCATAAATAACCGAACAAATTTTATATCTCTGAAATAAAAAATAAACTAAATCGAAATCAATTTACGATTCGAATGGGTATCCAAAACTTTAAAATACAAATTATATATTCACAAATATTAAGGGGGAGGGAGGGGAGGGGATGGATCCTATACCTCTAAAAAAAATGAAACCGTATTAAAATCAAAATATGAATTTAATGGGCACCCTCAATTTTTAAAGTATAAAATTATATAGGGGAGGGGAAACATGCTTGAACATATTCTTTTGCCAAATGTGAGTTTTATTAAAAAGGAAAAGCATGATCTAAGATAATGAATTATTGTCAAAACATTTTATTAGTCTACTAATTAAGATTTAAAGGTTTGTACATCCAATTATAAGATTTAAATTCTAGATTATTTAATCTCTTAAGATTATAGGATAGTTTTAGAGTAATGTAGGTAACTGTTATAATTATTTTTTTCATTACATCAGAAATGTTCGTACATGTAGAATGGTTTATCGTTTCTTTTGTAGAGAGTTTTATTATGGATTCTACTATATTTTAAGCAGGATAAATTGGCCTAATGGTTTTGAGGGAGTAAAAATCTCAAGTACGTACCAGAATTCGATACGAGTTGGTCACGGAATGACTTAGACTCTTGATAGATAAATACGCAGAATGATTCCAGACTTAGGAGATTAGTCAATTGGTCACGATTGCCTTCCTGATTATTCAAAAAAAAAAAAAAATCATCATGGAATGGAATCATTATACGTTATCATGATATAATGTGTAGTACCTCGATAACTTGTTATGAATTATTGTAGGTTTTTATTTTTTGAGTCAGCATCACCAAACAAATTACGCGTTTTAGTTCTTTTCTCCGCGTCGGAGCTTCCTTCACCCTTCGGAAATCCAATTTTAATAATTTTCTTTCAACTCTTTTTTTTTGTCCTTATCTGTTGTGTTGTTCTGCCTGAATCGGGCAGCTATGCACTTCTCTCTCTCTCTTCTTCTCCTTCTCTTCGCCACCGTCAAATTCGCGACACAACAGACATTCTCTCGCCACACAAAGAAGAACAACACCAAAGCCCCAAGTGTTAGTCCTTTTACTTCACAAGTAACAAAACATAAAGTTACTTCCTTTAAACTTCTTGATTCAGATTTGCTCTTCCTCTCTTTTGCCATTTGCAGGTCAAGTTTGTAGCTTTCAAGCTCGATTCATGACTTGGCTCTGAAAGATTGTTTCTTTACTAAAAGGGTACTTAAAGATTCGAGATTGCTCCAAGTTCTAAGAAGCTCCTTTAATGGCGTCTAGAGAAGGAAAGAGACGTACACATCAAGATCATGAGCACCTTGTCCCTCTTGCTGCTCTGTTAAGCAGAGAGACCAGAGCTGCTAAGATGGAGAAACCAATTATTAGATACGGAGAAGCTGCTCAATCTAGGAAAGGCGAAGATTACTTCTTGATCAACACTGATACTCTTCGTGTCCCTTCCAACTCTTCAACTTCTTTCTCTGTCTTTGCGGTAATAATCAGACAATCTAAAATCTCAGACCTTTATTACATCATCATAGGATAATGTTATGTTAACTTTTAAGTATGTTCTGTTTACTGTTAATCAGACAATCTAAATCTCAAACCTTTATTAGTTATTACATTATCATAGGATAATGTTTTATTACATTATCATAGGATAATGTTATGTTAACTTTTGTTGTGTCTTTTGTGTGTTCTGTGTACTGTTGTTATTAGATATTTGATGGGCACAATGGGAAAGCTGCAGCTGTGTTCACAAGGGAGAATCTTTTAAACCATGTTCTTAGTGCACTTCCACGTGGGCTTAGCCGTGACGAGTGGCTTCAAGCTTTGCCTCGTGCGTTGGTTTCTGGATTCGTGAAGACTGACAAGGAGTTTCAGAGCAGAGGAGAAACTTCTGGAACAACAGCAACGTTTGTGATAGTAGATGGATGGACTGTGACTGTTGCTTGTGTTGGTGACTCACGCTGTGTCTTGGACACTTCAGGCGGTTCTGTTTCTAATCTCACTGTGGATCACAGGCTTGAAGATAATAAAGAAGAGTATGTACTTTTGCTTTTCACATCTTAAAGCACACATCTAACTCTTATATAATGTTATTTAGGAGAGAAAGGGTGACAGCTAGTGGTGGAGAAGTTGGAAGGCTAAGCATTGTTGGAGGCGTTGAGATTGGTCCTCTAAGGTGTTGGCCTGGAGGTCTCTGTCTTTCAAGGTCTATTGGTGATATGGATGTTGGAGAGTTCATTGTTCCTGTTCCTTTTGTAAAGCAAGTGAAGGTATGTATAGATTTGTTTACAGATTTTTTTGTTTTGCTCAAATGTTGTTTTTTCATAACTCTGTTATATGAATGTAAAGCTATCAAAACTTGGAGGAAGGCTTATTATAGCCTCTGATGGGATATGGGACGCTCTCTCCTCGGAAGCTGCAGCTAAAGCTTGCCGTGGGTTACCTGCTGAGCTTGCTGCTAGACAAGTAGTTAAGGTGACATAATGTTCTTATAAACAATACTTCCTCTCCTTTGTTGCATTTTAAGTGTCTTGTAGATTTTAAAATCTGTTCATTATAAGTTGGTTTATAGTTTTTCCACTTTTATTCCTACTTTTTAAGCTCATTAACTAATAAAATCTGATAAAACAATGTATTATTAGGGGTATAATAGAAAATTAATGATTTTTTTTTTAATATGTGTGAAAAACCTTCTGCGGTGAGTATCATATTGTTTAGTTTAGGTTTGTGAACAAGTGATTGATGAGTGTTGAGTTTTGTGTTGCAGGAAGCATTTAAAATTTGTTTCACTATAAGTATCATATTATATTTTCAATGCATATATATATTGTTTTCCCACTTCTATTCCTACTTTTTAGTTCATTTACTAATAATAGAACATTTAATGATATTTCTAATGTGTTGAAAAACCTTAAAACATATAAAATGAAAAAAAAACTGAGGGAGTATTAGTGTAGAGGGTTTGTAAACAAGTGATTGAGGAGTGTTGAGTGTTGTGTTGCAGGAAGCACTGAGAAGAAGGGGACTCAAGGATGACACAACCTGCATTGTGGTGGACATAATCCCACCAGACAACACTCAAGAACCATCAACTACTTCTCCTAAGAAACACAACAACTTCTTCAGATCTTTACTCTTTAGAAAGAAATCAAACTCATCTAACCAACTCTCCAAGAAACTCTCAACTGTCAGCATCGTTGAAGAGCTTTTCGAAGAAGGCTCTGCAATGCTAGCTGAAAGGTCAGCTTCTTTTTTTTCTTCCTCAAAGACTTTGAACATGATCTCTTAGCAAAATGTTTCTGTTGAACTTTTCTTTGCAGGTTAGGATCAGGTGATTGTTCTAAGGAATCAAGAACAGGAGGAGGGATATTCACGTGTGCTATATGTCAACTAGACTTGGCTCCAAGTGAAGGCATATCGGTCCATGCGGGTTCGATCTTCTCCACGAGTTTAAAGCCGTGGAAAGGACCGTTCTTATGCACAGATTGTCGTGACAAGAAGGAAGCAATGGAAGGGAAACGCCCAAGTGGTGTTAAAGTCATCTAAAGATTGAATATGGTATCTACTTCCACTTGTCATACACACAAGTCTCTCTATTCATTCATTGTAATTCTTTCTTCATTTGTTCTTTTTTTAATTTCATCCATTGGAATAAATTTGAGTTCAGTGTCGGATATAGTTGTATTGATTGGATTTGATTGGTATACGGTTTGAAAAGCTTGTGTTCACAGTGGCCATAGAAAAGATTTGATATTTTCATCTAATGATGGTAATATACGTAACTTGTCAACTAGAGTTTCTAGACCTTTATCAACATTCAACTCACTATCTACAACCATCAACTTAATGTTCTTGATTTCATCACCATTAAAGAAACATGCGATGTGACGAAATAAAGTTTTATGTTCCTTCCTCTCTAATCCATCGTAGCTAACTCGTAGTGCTTTTTCTATTTTTCCATCTAGCCCATTCCTAATTGTTGGCAACATATGTCTAACCAATACTTTTTGTTTCTCCCCCGCAAACATGAACCTAGAATGTTTAGACCCAAAGGAAGACCACCCTGCTTGGGAAGACATCATACACCCAAGAATAGGAGGACGAAGATGATGAAGGAGCCATAAAGAGAGAAGGAAACTAGTTTTAGGAGGAGGTAAAGGAGCCATATAATTTAGCAATTTCACCATTCTTTATAAGTTTTTTTACTTACGCAAGTTGACTTTGATCATAAAGACCACCGACGTAGAAGAATCATTGAAATCGAATTAATGATGGTCGGTTCAAATTTTATAAACCGGTCCGAAATGTTGTTGATTCCTTCGGACCAAACCGATTGATGTCTCTAGTGACAAGTACAATCTTAAATGGACCCAAGAAAAGACACGAGATTTGTATGATTTGGATTCTGCCCTCAGCCTTACGCTCTCCTTTGGCATATTTCCTTATTACTCAATTTTCGAAAAGGGCCAAAAGATGATATTCTATACTACATGATTTCTTTCGCCAACATATTTCAAAATACCAAAAATACTTTTCAAGAAGTTAAGAAACTTTAAAGGTTTTGAAATCTTCTGCATCGGGTTTGGAATTTGATTTCCAAAAAAATTAAAACAGTTTTTGCAGTTTTGTAGATTTCAAAATTTATCGAAAGTTTCTTATATATTGTCCCAAGTAGTAGCTGTTTTGTACGCATGAGAGTTCTGTCCATCTTAAATGTATGAATGTAGTGGAATTGTAGGTCGTGGAGTTGCTGTTCAAAAACTGTTGATTACAAGAGCATCTCTAGCATACTCCCTCTGTTTCAATATAAGTGTCACTCTACAGCTATACACACGGATTAAGGAAACAATTAATTTTACATATTTCCTATATAAAAACACAATTACCCATACACCTAACCATATTTTAACCAATAGAAAAACAAATTACATAATAAAATTAATAAATTTTACATTGAAAACCGAAAACGACACTTATTTTGTAACACAAAAAATTCTCTACAATGACACTTAATATAAAACGGAGGGANCGGATTAAGGAAACAATTAATTTTACATATTTCCTATATAAAAACACAATTACCCATACACCTAACCATATTTTAACCAATAGAAAAACAAATTACATAATAAAATTAATAAATTTTACATTGAAAACCGAAAACGACACTTATTTTGTAACACAAAAAATTCTCTACAATGACACTTAATATAAAACGGAGGGAGTATTATTTAATTTAAAATTAAAGTAGAATAATTCTAAAATAGAATAATAAATAAATAGGAAAAATAACTATAATAATTTTATTAAAAGGCTTAACTATAATAATTTTATTTATAAAAATGATTTTACTTTTTACTCTAATTTTGAAAATATTTTTTTTCAGAATGAAATTTGTAGTAAGATATGTAAAAAAAAGAGGATATGTTCTACTTGTATGATAAATAAATTTGCTTGCTCTTAGTAAAATTAGCTCATAATATATATAACACATGATTAATAATATAGAAGACCTTTAAATGTTTTCACTATACAATTAATAAATTGAAAAATACCATTATACTTGTCAGAAATTTAGTAGTTAGTTGAAAATAGTAATGAAATTTGTAAGGTTGCGAGTCTTGCGACGTATGTTCGATGGGGAACAATTTTGCATGAAACAAGCAAAGACATTGTTGAAGCAAAAGCTCAGACCTCTTCTGCTTTATTATGAAAAAAGCAAAAATGCTCATCTTCTCCTGCAGCGAAAATAATAAATCAACAAACAAAAGTCTGGAGAATCGTTGAAAGGTTCCCACTTTCTCTTTATTTACCATATTGTCCCATCTTTCAAAATTATGCAAAAAAAAAAAAAGAAACAAAGGGTTTTGGGAATTGTTAGAGACTTTTTTTCTTGGTTTAGGAGTAGTAATTATGAACATTAATCTTCTTCACATGGAACAAAATCTATAGAGTTCAACACGTGAGAGAGATCACAGGCACGCGTGTGGTAGAAGCAAATTTCACAACCGTTACGGGGAACATCAAAACCCTTTGACCTCTCTTTAAAACCCCTCTCTACACTGGTCAAATCCGAAACACCATCGTACGGTCCAGATTCCTCAGATATGAAAATAGCAAAGAAGGATAAATTAGTCATTCACCCAACACTTGACGTTACATTACACAATAAAGACTTTAACTACGACCATATCACTTTCCTCTCAACGCTCTCTACTTAAAACTCTCTCTCTCTCTTTTGTCTGTCTGCTAACTTGTCGGAGCGACAATGGAGAAACATCATTTACTTCTCTCTCTACTCCTTCTCTGTTTCTTCCTTTCTTCCTCTTCAACCTCCGATTTAGAAGCTCTTCTAACCTTCAAATCCACCGCAGACTCCACCGGAAAACTCCTCTCATGGAACACAACCACCGACACGTGCAAATGGTCCGGAGTCTCCTGCCTCGAAAACCGAGTCACCCGACTCGTCCTCGAGAACCTCGAACTCACCGGGTCAATCACCCCACTCGCTTCCCTCACCGAGCTCCGAGTTCTCAGCCTCAAACGTAACCGCTTCTCCGGTCAAGTCCCCGACCTCTCAAACCTCACTGCACTAAAGCTACTCTTCTTATCGGAAAACCAATTCTCCGGTCCTTTTCCGGCGTCGGTTACTTCACTCTCTCGTCTCTACCGCCTTGACCTCTCCGTCAACAACTTCTCCGGCGAGATTCCACCGACGTTAACACACTTAACTCATCTCCTCACTCTCCGGTTAGAAACAAACCGGTTCTCCGGTCAGATTCCGGACATTAACCTCCCTGATCTCCAAGACTTCAACGTCTCCGACAACAAACTCGAAGGTCAGATACCGAAGTCCTTGTCGGAATTCCCTAACTCCGTGTTCAGACAAAACCCTTCTCTCTGTGGAGCTCCATTGCTAAAAAAGTGCAATAACCCGACTAAACCGGGTCAAGCCGATGTAGCAAGAGCTACTCCGTTAAACCAACCAGAAACAGTACCATCGTCTCCAACATCAGTTTCTAAAGAGGAAGACAAAAGCAACACGGGGAGAATAAGTACGTTAGCACTCGTGGCTATCATCCTCGGAGATGTTATTATCCTAAGCCTCGTGTCTCTCCTTCTCTACTGCTGTTTCTGGAGACAATACGCTAAAAACAGGAAGAAACATTCGAAAGTTCTAGAAGGGGAGAAGATAGTCTACTCCTCAAGTCCTTACCCAACTGCTCAGAATAATAACAGTAACAACCAGCAGCAACAAGGTGGTGGTGAGAGGGGTAGAATGGTCTTTTTCGAGGGGACTAGGCGTTTTGAGCTGGAAGATCTTCTGCGAGCCTCGGCGGAGATGCTGGGGAAAGGAGGGTTTGGGACGGCGTACAAGGCGGTGCTTGACGACGGTAACGAGGTGGCGGTGAAGAGGTTGAAAGATGCGGTGAATGTGGCTGGGAAGAAGGAGTTTGAGCAGCAGATGGAGGTTTTGGGGAGGCTGAGGCATAGTAATCTTGTGAGCTTGAAAGCTTATTATTTTGCTAGAGAAGAGAAGCTTCTTGTCTGTGAGTACATGCCTAATGGGAGTCTCTTCTGGCTTCTCCATGGTACGTTTTCAACTCTTTTTAGTTGTTGTCAAATGTGGAAATTAATCACTAATCAGATTACAGGTTTAGGGATAATTGTTTTTTACCAAAAGTTGGCTTAGGTTTATGTTTTTATAGGAAGAGAAATTATAGAAATGGTTAGGGATGTTTTTGTGTGGGCCAAAAAACAGGCGTTTCATAATTCCTGGTACATGGAAGGAAATGACGTTTAGGGTAACGCCAAAAGGCATTAGAATGGTAGGGTGGTAGTACTTTGGACTTATTGGGATATCAATGATCCAAAGTAGCAATGCAAATCTTAACCAAACCAATCCAAATCAATATTTTTGGTTCTTGTTTGGTTACTCAGGTTGAACTAATTACCAATATTCCACAATCAGTACAGTCACTGGTTTAGCGCGGGTCGTTTGGCCGAACCGATCAATTAATCTTAAGTTTAAAAAATTTCTAGATGAATGATACCAAATCATATTGGAAATTAGATTGTTTATACCAAAAGTAAATTAATTTATCATCAGTAGAATTAATTTATTAAAGTAGGAATAATTTAGAAAAAGGTTAGATTTGTTTATTAAGCGTAAATTCGATATTAATCAAGAACCAAACCAAAACTTATTAAAGTAGGAATAATTTAGAAAAACTTTGGTTCGACCCCAAAAGAAAAAAGAAAAAACTTTGGTTAACCAATAACCAAAAAAGGTATCGGTTCTGTTAACCAAAGTCGCCTAATCCGAACTGAATCACTTTCACGTGGGCATTTATTATTACTAAATGCAGATAACGAGAATTTAAAGTCTCTAGATAGACACAACCATTGGCAATAAGGTGGACAAATAAAGTCCTGATCTGTCTCATTTAATCGCTTTTTGTTGTTTCTGCTGCTCGAGTTCTACTGTTTGTCTCTTCCACCTAACCATATAATTTAATTACTATTTTTATTCATTGTTTAAGTAGCTAATAAAGCGACTAATTACATTTTCCTAGGTAAGTGTCAAATGTGTATTACAATGAACTATAGTGTCTAATTCTAATGGACCCTTTGGTGCAGGTAATCGTGGACCGGGTCGGACCCCACTAGACTGGACCACGCGCCTCAAAATCGCAGCTGGTGCGGCGCGTGGCATATCTTTCATCCACAACTCATGCAAAACCCTGAAGCTCACTCACGGCGACATAAAATCCACCAACGTCCTCCTCGACGGCTCCGGCAACGCTCGCGTTTCCGATTTCGGCCTCTCTTTATTCGCGCCGCCGCAAACCGCCGCTAAATCCAACGGCTACCGTGCGCCGGAGCTCCTGGACGGTCGTAAACCCACCCAAAAATCCGACGTCTACTCGTTCGGAGTGTTACTTCTCGAGATACTCACCGGGAAATGTCCAAACTTAGTGGAGTCGGGTCACTCCGGCGGGGCGATGGATTTACCGAGGTGGGTCCAGTCGGTGGTGAGAGAGGAGTGGACGGCTGAAGTGTTCGATTTGGAGCTGATGAGGTATAAGGATATAGAGGAGGAGATGGTGGGGCTGCTGCAGATTGCTATGGCATGCACTGCTGCGACGGCGGATCACCGGCCGAAGATGGGTCACGTGGTGAAGATGATAGAGGAGATACGTGGTGGGGGGTCTGAGACGTCGCCGTGTAACGACGGGATTAATTCTGCGGCGGAGTCTTCGCCGTGCTTGTCTGAGGACACGTGTGGTGGGACTACTAGTCGGTAGAGAGATGTGTGTTACTTAAAAGTTTGTGTAAATCACGTGACCTGAATCATTACATTTGCTTCGTAACACTTCTAGAGTTGTAGGCTTTTCTTAGTTGTTGTTCTTCTCTTTTAATTTGTTTTGTAATATTTGCTAGTTTCTGTTTAAATGATATTTGCTAGTTTCTGCTTAGATGTTAAACATCTTCAAAAAAAAATCAAAATACCAAACACAAACGGGTTCTCATAATTATTCTGTGTTAGAATTTCAAATCTATACTCCGAGAGTCTGGACTACCACAGTTGCTACAATCATTTTAAAAGAATCATGCTTTAAACATTAATCTAAACTAGATTTACATATTCCGTTAAAAATTAAGCCAAACTAAAAACCTAAAGCCTAACTTATAGAGAAAGTATAAAGCCATAACCCAAAACCAATGAAGCCCTCTACAAAAATATTTTAATAACTGAAAACATGTTCCCTCTTTTTTATTTTTATGTAAAGCGAAAAACGACTAAGTTGCTTTGGTTTAGTGTTAAAGAAGTTCCAGTTGGAGTGCCCGTCTCTAGGTTCGAATCTTGGCTACTGCGAAATTTACATATAAGCTGCAGGATCCGATACCCGAAAACCGTTATAGGTGAGCCACTTCGGTGGAGTCAGGATACTCAGTTAGAAAAAAAAGCGAAAAACTAATTTGAACTTTTGAAATAATAGGTTACCTAACTCGCAAGTATTAAACTAATGAGGAAAGTAGTGACTGATGATTACTATAGAAAGTCCGGGTCTAAATGCATGTAACGCCGCCCACTAGAGATGCCATAATGTCCGGTCCATTATTCTTTCTGATTTCACGGATGGAAACTACACGAGAAAGGACTTTATAGAGTATGATGGAACCATGTGCACTTGTTATCGCGGATAGTATGGCAACATTGTCGGCTTCTAATTGTATATAGCAGCATTACATAAAAGAGGTACAAGATAGTCAACAAAAGAAACATAAAATATCGAATACATGTGGTCGCTAAAGCTTATTTTGTGGGCTGATATTATGGAAGAACAAACAGTTAATGGAATATGTAGTCGATAAATTATCCAAATTATGTATAAGTCTTCTCCAAGAACCATTAAAAACCGATGATCCAGGTACATGAATTATTTCATTTCATGGTGGTCAAGTAGTTTAAAAATCCATCTTGATGTTCGATAGATAAGTATGGAGCGTAAACAAGAGGAACATGATTTAATAAGCTTTTACAAATTGATATGAATTTCGGTTTAGAATCTGTAAACAAACTAATCTAACTTTATAAATAAATGATCATTTATGAATTGAAAAGTAGAACAAAAAGAATTACAAGATTAGATTGACAAATTGCCAAAAAAAAATTATGAGAGAAGAATAATCAGAAATATAAAACAGTAGGTGCAAGCCTGAGCAACCTGCCAAGAGCAGTGGGCAAGAACTTGCGAGCAAATAAATAACAAATATTCGTCTTCTTTCCATTGTGGTAACACTGCCTATTCTCATCACCACCATTCCTCAGCTTCACCAAGAACTCTTCTGTCACCTCGTATCTGATAAACCGGGTCGGGTGGGGCCCACCGTAGGTCCAGTCAACCCAAGTGAGAGTCCGGTTCGAGTTACGGCGACCCAAGCTAGATTTTAGGTTGAGGAGCGTAGGGATGTAGTGCTCGTCCGCGTAGCAGCTGTGGTGGCAGTAACGGTAAAAGAGAGGCCAATAAGTTGTGTCGGAAATGATTTCAAGGGCCATGGCACGGTCTAACTCGAACCACTGGGAGCCTTTTCGCCAGTGGCGTAGCTGGACACGTGGTCTCATTTCGGGACTGTATCTACCACGTCCAACGCCGCCGAGTTGGTCGTAGGACTCGACGTGAGTTTGAGTTGATGTAGTGAGGTAAGAGTAAACGGTTGTGAAGTTGAAGAGAGGGATGCATGATTCGGACAGAAGTACAAATCGTTCGTTTGAGATGTCTAGCAATGCATTTGCTAGTAATCTTTGTTCAGCTTCCACCATATTCACATATCCCCAACCTACTCTCTGCGTGATCAATAACAAAAATGTTACAAGACCCATATAAATTGTATAAGATCATACATAACATATTTATCAAAAATACACAGGCTAATCTACTTGTCACTTGATTTAATTTAACTTACACTAAAATTAATTACGCGAAATTATTTTGAATTTGACTTTTGATTTGAGAGATTACGGGAAATAATCAAGGGATTCAATACTCAATAGGGATTTGATATGAATTTAAGACAGATGCGTTTGTGCCAACTAAGTTAAATTAAGATCTTCTTCTTTTGGCATTTGTACCTCCAATTCTTGTTGGTAAAAGCGTTATGTTAAGTAATGAAGAAATCATGTCTTGTATTCTAAAAAAATCATGCCCAAAAAAAAAAAAGTAATGAAGAAATCATGCAATAATAGATTGCTCAATAAAAAAAAAAAAAAAGATTGACCCATAAAAGAAACAAAAAAAAAGAAAAGAAAATCATGCAAATATGCAATGTCTTGTATTCTATATTTATGTAATAAAATAGCACTGGCACCGACGACGGACCAAAAGCAACTTGTTAATGATTTTTAAAATATTTATGTCACAAAAAGTAACCGTATTGTGCAAGATAATCTACATTCTATTCACAATCTCATATGAATTTTGAACTCTTTAATACTATGAAATATTTGTTGACATTTACTCAATCACAGTCATAGCATGTTCACAATACGTTCACACAGTATTCCATAAATTTAGATTGAAAGAATCTTGTTATTATTAATTTCTAGAATGTTGATAACAAATTGTTACTTTCCCTTTTGATATCAATTTGACAGCTTGATAATTGGGATATTTGTTAGAACTACTAAATGTCACAAAATTATATTTTCAAACGTATTTTCGTTTTATCAAACATGAAAACATCAAAGGGTGTAAGAAACTGACCTTGCTTGGGATCTGCCGGCCACGGAAGACGGAACCTTCGGGATAGGACTCGTTATTATAAGGATATGAGTGGATGTAAATACTGAAAAGATCTTCATGTCCTCTAAAGAATTTCTCCCATAGAGGAGCCAGAGGTAATTGACCTTTTGTCAAAAACATAAAAGCAACCTTTGGTGTTCTATGAAAAGGATAGCTTCTGATCTTAGGTTCCATTGAAGCTCTCCAAAGAAGTTCTTTATCCTCCATGTCGTGCATGATCTTCTTTGGAGGCCTCAGAAACTGTTTCAGCCCGACGTGCACGGGCTGAAAAGGAGGAGGGGGAGAAGGAGGTGGAGGAGAAGGAGTACTAGGAGGAGGAGGAGGAGGAGGAGGAGATGAGACGAGGAAGAGCTGAGAGAGGCGTTGGATGCTGAGTGAAGATGTGGAAGAGATGTCTTGTAGAGAGGAATGAATAAGGATACCGATGATTATGCCGCAAAATAGAATAAGGGAAAGTGAAAGAAGATTGAGGAAATGATGGTATTGAGCATTGAGAAGCTTTGCTACTAGAGATGGTGATGAAGAAAATGATGAGTTTTGATCTTTTAGGTTCTTCATGGAGAGAAAGAAAGAAAGAAAGAAAGAGAGAGTTGTGTTTGTGGAGTGAATGGATTTACAAAGTTTGAAGATGGAGATGGAGAAACAAGTTCTTTGCTTTAAGGGCAAGAGATATATATGATACCGCTTTTACAAGTGGAGAATTCTATTTATATTATTTTTGTGTAAAATAGAAAATTTTGGGGTTGAAAAGATGAATTTTGCATACCAAAATAAATGTTTCATATAAAGTCTAAGTATTGAACAGTAATGGAAGAATCTGTTATGATTAGTTATGGAAGATTTTTAACGGGTGATTAATGGTGGTTTATTCGCATTTAAAAATTGGCTAATTTAGTAGCAGAATGACAGACAATAATATATTGCTGTAAAAAAAAAACAGGAGAATAGCTGAAATTTATTAAACGGATTCTTTAATTAGTAAGTGTATATTTTTTTTTAATTGGTCAAATATTTGAAAATAACCTAAGAAGATTACGTAATACTATTACTAGTCGAAATAAAACTAATAAAACATATTATTAGCTACATATCATGTGTCCCCTTCTTAATGAAATATAATTAGCATTATTTTCCTGAACAAATAATTAACATGGTTGATTTCAAAAAAGTAATTAAATATTGTTCGAAAAGAAAATAAAACAAAGAAAACATACTATGAATTTTAACAAAAGGACCAAAGGAAGAAAAACGCCACTATGTTTTTTTTTCTTACACAGTAAATGCTAATCCAGCAGCTTCAATAAGTTTACGGGGAAAACGTAAAAATAAATTAGTTGACGTTTATTTTCTTGTTCGAAGTAAAACTGTCACTACCATTTAAAAGCATAAAATTAAAATTGTTGACTTAAAAATGCATGAGTTTCACCAAAAATAGTTCAAGTAAAAAGGATGATCAAAGACCTTTCAACTATTTTTTTTCTGTTGCTAAATTATAGTTTCAATTAATTTTTTAATAATTGTTCGTTAAATTTTAGTTTATCCGTATAAAATATCCCTTTATAATATATAAACGATTTTTATATGAAAACAAGCATGATCTTATCTAAAACCAAAGTTTTAATTAATGAAAAACTAGTAAAAATTTCAATTAACTAATGTAAATTTCTATCTAATAAGTATTTATTAATGCTTTAACCTTTCGTTCCATCGTTGTTAAATTAAAAACATGTGAAGACAAAATAGGAGAGTACGAATTATGCATATGACTGTTTGTCCAAACCTTTTAGGATTTGCATATTTAACAACCCAATAAGCAATATGAAAAGTTGGTGACAAATATGAAGAACAACGAAGTAAGTCGGTATCAGAGAAATAACAAATATTTTTCTCATTATTACTCATACTCCCTTGGTTCAACATGTTCAGTCTTCAACTTTGTCCGAAGGAGCTGGGCAACAAACTTTCAGCCATCATTAGTCTTTATCTAAGCTGTCGATTTTCAATTGACTTCCTTTTATATACTACTCAGTTTCACTTCCAGGAAACGAAAAAAATCTTAGGTCCCAAACGGCATGAAGCTTCCAATAATACTTTATCACTTTCCAGGAAGAATGACACGTATTGCATGATTATTGTCTCTTTGCTCGACCTTTTCAAACAATGTGCAACCGTCTTTACACATAAACTTGACATTTAAATCCCAATATACAAGTATATTTATCATTTTTATCTGTTTGCCACGTATTTTCTTTACAGTTTTTCAATACATGGTTTTAAATCATTGGCTACATTTTGCGTATTCAATTTCCATTTGATGGTTCTATAACTAAACCGGACGACTCGAGATGGACGATAGAGAAACTTGGGACGGAAAAAGACAAACCGGAGCTCAAAAGGAATTTTGGACATTATTTCACTCAACCATCTGAGCATAAGGAACATTCTAGTCGAGCCAGAATTAGTTTGGGACATAGAATTTTGAGAGATAGCTGAAGAATGCACCTTTTTGGCTGTATCGATCTTGTTAGGCCACCCAATGACCTTGTGACGTTCTTGTTTGTTCTTGGTTAATCAGTTCACTGTTTCATCGAGCCCAAGTCTAGATTATGGGCCAACATATCGAAAAAAAATTATGGCTACGTTTTGAACTCAAAACAAAAGTATTTTTAGCCAATGAAGAAACTCATAACAAATGCATTTTAGTATTTTTTTTTTTTGGAATTGAGATTCGAACATGCCTTAGACAAGTTTTTACTGGTCTATTTGCACTAATAAATCATAGGAGAGCCATCAAAAGTTACAATTGTGACATACCAAAATTAATTAAGCAAAACACTTAACTCTGATCGATATGATTTTAACTAAAACATATTATAAAAGTATGTTTTCAAACAAAAGTTTAATTTGAAATCAGATAGAAATCTAGCTAAAATTATACTCCCTTTGTTTCCTTTTATAAATATTTTAAGAGAAATTTGTTTGTTTTAAAATATAAATAGTTTTCATATATATAATTTTTGTATTTATTGGATATAGTATAACCAATCAAATATCATAGACTTATTTAATCGACTATACCAATTTATATATCAAATGCTATTTTCAAAAATAATATCTTTTTTTGTAAAAAAAAATTATGCATTCAATTAAAACTATCTATATAATGAAATACAGGGAGATACTAAATACCAGAAAAAAAAAAAGAACTTAGAGGCGTCCAAATTTTGTTTTCGATTAAGAATATATTTTCAAAAGGAATAATAAATGTTAATTTTATTTTATGGTTAGTTGCTGCAATTTCTCTTTTTCTTTTTTGTTTTTGATCAAATTTTGTATAATTTCCCTATTCTCTATGTACAAAAGAAACTTGTTTCAAGGGTTCTGTTCGTACCCAAAGTGGGTATAATCCTCATCAACTTACAACTTGCAATAAAAATCAAAATTTTGACTTGTCCTGAAAAGTGGAAACCCTCTGTTTCGTTTTAACTTCTCGATCTTGTCAGATCCTCGTTTTCTTCTTCTTTTGTTCATCCGAGGTTAACTTAATCCCACCCTCCTCCTCCTCCTTTCAAGAGACTCTTCTTGGTTTGAAACAAAGCGGAAGAGGATGAGTTCGTCTTCTCCGGCCACTCGACGTGACCCCTACGAGGTTCTCTCCGTTTCAAGAACCGCTTCTGATCAAGAAATCAAATCCTCTTACAGAAAACTTGCTCTTAAGTAAGCCCCAAAAAAAAAAGGTTCTTCCTTTTATTTATTTATTTTCCAGTAAAGATCTAAGCTTTATTGGATTTTAGGTATCATCCAGACAAGAATGCAAACAACCCTGAAGCTTCTGAGCTTTTCAAGGAAGTTGCTTATTCCTACAGCATCTTGTCTGATCCTGAAAAGAGAAGGCATTATGACAATGCTGGCTTTGAGGTGAATCCTTATTTGTTTTTCTTTGTAGCTTCTTACACTTGCAGCTTATGTTAGGGTTGTTTTCATGATGTATTTAGGCACTTGATGCTGAGGGAATGGAGATGGAAATTGACTTGTCTAACCTTGGAACTGTTAACACCATGTTTGCTGCATTATTCAGCAAACTAGGTGTGCCTATAAAGACTACTGTGTCTGCTAATGTTCTTGAAGAGGCTATGAATGGGACTGTTACTGTTAGGCCCCTTCCTATTGGAACTTCTGTTAGTGGGAAGGTGTTGAATTTAGATTCCATGACTTTCTTTCTTCTTAACTCATGTGTCCTTTGTTTTATTTGAAAGTGAAGTTATTTGATCTCTGAATATTAGGTTGAGAAGCAATGCGCTCACTTTTTTGGAGTTACGATAAGTGAACAACAAGCTGAGTCAGGGGTTGTTGTTAGAGTAACTTCAACAGCTCAAAGTAAATTTAAGGTATATGAACTTTGGAATGCTCCTTGTCTTTTGTTACTAACTTGGAAGCTGTTTTTCACCTAATTAACTTTTAACTCTTGTCTCTCTGTAGTTACTTTATTTTGAGCAAGATTCAAGTGGCGGCTATGGATTGGCGTTACAGGTAGACAATACTCTTTGTCCTATATTAAAAGAATGTTGTTCTTAGCATTACTGAACTGTCTTTAGATGAGAAAAGAAGCATAATGTTCCATTTTTCTGGTGGTGATTCTTTAACGGCATCAGGCTTTATGTTCTTGCAGGAAGAGAGTGAGAAAACAGGCAAGGTGACGTCAGCTGGCATGTACTTCTTACATTTTCAAGTGTACAGAATGGATTCTACTATTAATGCGGTATGCAAGTTCATGAGCTCTTTTCTTTTACTATCTTAGAATATGCAGATGTATTAAAGCATTCCACATTGTGGTTATTGTGCAGTTAGCAGTAGCCAAAGACCCTGAATCTGCTTTCTTTAAGCGATTAGAAGGTCTTCAACCTTGTGAGGTTTCAGAACTGAAAGCTGGCACTCATATCTTTGCAGTTTATGGTATGAACAATTATCTTTAATTGCAACCGCTGGACTGTCTTTGATACATATTTTTAACTGGTCTCTAGCTACTTTTCAGGTGATAACTTTTTCAAGACTGCATCCTACACAATAGAGGCACTCTGTGCCAAGACCTATGAGGACACAACAGAGAAGTTGAAGGAGATTGAAGCTCAGATTCTAAGAAAGAGAAACGAGCTGCGGCAGTTTGAAACTGAGTACCGAAAGGCTTTGGCGCGTTTCCAAGAAGTAACCAACAGATATACACATGAGAAGCAAACGGTGCGTTGATTAATCTCTTTTTATTTAGTTTATTCCTCACTGCAAGTTTCTTGCATTGATTGATATGTCTTTTTTTTGGATGATGGTTAAAGGTGGATGAACTGCTAAATCAACGTGACTCAATCCATTCATCCTTCTCTGTGGTGAAGACACCAAGCGGTAGCAACGGAAGTAGCAGCAAAGCTCAAGGAGATGAAATGAAAGGTGATGCGGATAGTGTAAGTGAAGAAGTTGGGTCAGAGAGGGGAGACAAGTCGAAGAGGAAATGGTTTAGCTTGAACCTAAAAGGATCTGATAAGAAGTTTGGTTGACTTTACCAAAAGGTGGGTTTGTTGTGGGTTCATTGGTTTATTCGTTAGACAGGAACTGACTCAGTGACTCTTGTGTCACTGAGGATGGCTCTATGTGTAGGCATATATATATGTTCATTGGAATGATTTGAAAGAGAGATGCAAAAAGCTCAACTTGAAAATGGTTTTTGAAATGTATGCAAATGCATTATTGATTCATTGTTTGTTATATTTATTATTAACAGATTTGTCATTTTTTACAATACTTCCCCCATAGATATTGACACTCTACTTGTAGTTGAAGTGAAGGGTTCGAGAGAGTTAACCAATTTTTTCATTTAGAAGCTTAAAATTGGTGGTGTGAAAACTGTTCAGCCATTAACACAATGTGGTTAGGTAAATATGTGTGCGGTTTTATAGGTAAATATGTTCATTAAAATGATCCATAGATTCTTTTACTGTACAAGAATTGTTGTTTGTCATAGAAAAGTTTTTTTAGTTTAGGCTATTATGCAACATTATTATTTCATTGTAAGTTTTTTTGAATTAACCCTTTTCTCTTTGGGCCATATATCCTGGAACGAATAATCATCATTTTCATGCAAAAGACGAAATATAACTACATACATACGGCCCATTTAAAAATAAGTTGATTTGTTCATGTTCTTTAGAATATGGTATTTGGTTTTTGTAGTAGTGATGGACAAATACAAGGTTGATCGTGAAATGTTAATTCAATAAATTACGGAGAATTATCTATCTTTTAAGTCTAACAAAGAAGAAAGTCAGGGTAAATGTTTTTATATGATTTTTAGACTCGTCTTTAGGCGTATGCATGAAGTTAGTTAACTTTTTCTTATTGAAAATATTTATTAAGTAATTATAATGTCAAATGACTAGATTTCAACTAAACATCGTCAATCAGAAAGTAAAGATGTCAAATTATATAATTTATAAAAAGATCAGGGCATGGAGTAATAGGATTATTGGCTGACCAATGTTATTAATATAAAAAGGCCGACCATTAAAAAAGATTAACATGTTTTGACTTTTGAAGCCATTGGATTAACAATACTTTGGATTTGATTGGTTATCAAGTTTTCTGTAGTGCATGAGAGGATTTCTACTGGTCATGGAAAAAATTAGCAGCTATATCAAACACAACTATCATTAAAAAAATATTTTCGACATATTGGTATCACTTGAGTGGCGGTTTCCTATTTTTAGAGGAATTCATGCCAATTTGTGTTTGCTTTTGGTGGTGAATTGCGTAAGAGCAAATCACACAAGTTTTGCTATATCTCATATCATTACACTGTAATATAATTTATACGAACTTTGAATTGACTAGTATAACGTAAACACAAACATATGCTTATGATACAAATTAAAATGTCAACTTCGAAAAAAATCTAAAAATTAGTCTTAGTTAGACGTTAGACGCGTGCATATTTTTACCTTTGCATGTTTTTTTTTTGATTAATCTGGGGTATTCTAGACCTTAAAATAGAGGCCACTATTAATATTAGATGATCGGGATAATTGTAATCTAGTTTTGTATAATAGGTGAGTCAAACCTAAAACATGTTGTGTTCCAGTCTCATCTCCTTATTATTCGAACACAATCATCCGACCAGATCCTATGCATGTTTACGATAAGAATTAATTAAGAATGGGAATACAATTTATATAAGAAAGTAAAACTGTGGGTTCATTCAAAAAAGAATATTACATGATAACTGAAAATAAATATTAGCACAAGATTGAATTCAAATATAAATTGTTTGGATTCTTAGTTAGAGATGTTAAGTAAAAGTTCTGGAACGGAAGAAATCATCAAATTCTGCCAGAAGTAATATTTTGAGAATTGAAGTAAATCATCATTTCCTATTAGTTATGAAATTCGTCTGACATTTACTTGATACTTGTTCATCTTAAACAAAACCTAAGAGTTGACAAAAAGAAAACAAAACCTTATAAACCTAATAGTTTTCCATGGTTGCTTCCTTGATCTGAGGCATAAAACGTGGCTGCTTATTTAACAAAGAAGATAAGTTGCTGCTTATATCTGGAGACCACGGATCAATGATTAAATTTTGTTTATATATTCTGTTTTAGTTAATAAATTAACTAAAACAGAATATATAAACAAAATTTAATCATTAATTATTTAGACTTTAAATAAGTAATAAAGCACATGTATCTCAGCTTTATCAGAGAACATTGCAGAACTGAGTAGTAATGTAAACAAATTATTTATTTATAAACATTGTTTCTAGACGTATAACTGGAGTATAACTTGCATAGAACTTCCATATATATGAATATACATACACATATGTTGTTAGTAGTTTAAAACAGTTTCTGCATTTCATGCCCGTGACAGATGCTTCCTAGATAAAATTATAATTAATAACTTCCCTAGCGAATAGTAAAGCCTGATTAATAATGGCATTAAGAGTATAGATGTATATGCGTGACTGTGTGACAGTGTTTGCATGTTAATGTAACCAGTTGACGTGTCCCACTTCGATTAATTTGTAAGTTTGTAGCCTAAAGCCCCTCTGCTTTAAGAAAAGCTATATCTACTATTAAGAAAATATTTAATTTGCTCGATTAAGTGTCACTTGGAATATATGATGGGGCTTTGTGATGAATCATCACACCCACCATCTTTGGTTGGCTTCAGAAAGATGCTTTGGAGATATCTATTAAAGGAGATTGGGATTTGAATAATCAAATGTCTAATTTTGGTGTTTGTGGAGTCTTCCTGATGTGTGGGTCAAGACTAAACTAATCGCATTTATCAACCAAAAGCTACACTATAGTTTTTTATTATCTCATTTGTGGGATCGACTTTAGTTTAAAGTATTAGTTTATTATAATCCCCATTGGTTTAATTTCACTACTAATCAAATTATGGTGGGTCATAATATTGATCTTGGAGATCTTGTAATGATAATATAAAACATCATTTAAGTCAAAATCGATAGACTTGATAAGATTACCCAAATGGTGCTAGACAAAACCATCAAGATATAGACAGCTGGTACTTCCATTTGTCAAATGATAACACTTTTGCCGGGACTATAGATTGAATGAAGAAATTCATTGTATTATTCCCAAATTCGTGATTAATTATGAATTTCTTTTTGTTTTGTTTACGATTAATTATGAATTTCAGGAAATTAAACATCACTATTATCAGATTGTCAACGTTTTGGTTGATGGTTGCCATCAGGTTTTGGTCTATAAACATCACTTCTTTTATCTTGGAAAATATGTTTAACCCTTTAAATGGTAAGAAAGAACTTCTTCATACTTATATAGGTTTGATTATAATGTTTATAAACGTATAACTTTGATTTGTGAATCATAAAAATTGTGCATAGAAATAAGAGAATCAGAGGACAAATTCATTTTAACTTAGTTACATGATTTAAAGAATAGGATTTTCTTGTTTTTCAAACATTATTACGTGCATAGTGGACGTACGTAATGACAGAACACCGATCATAATTGCGAAGTGAGATGGTAAAAAAACATGTGTTATTATTAATTAAATCATTAAAAAAAAAGATTCTCAACTATAGGAAAGATACATGACTACACATATGAGCAAAAGTAATATATCGATAACTATATAAAATATATATAATTCAATAACATCTCTGAACTATTATATCAACATTATTTTAGGTTATTAGAATGATATTGATAGTGTTAGCAATATAACACATGATAATCTAAATATGTTATCATGTGAATCATATAGTTCATGTAGATGTCGATATATTATATTTGTTCAGATGAAATGTCATGTGATTATGTATTATTTGCGTAGCCGATAATCATTTTCCCATCATTTTACCATTCTGTCGTTTGATTGAAACCATAATTTTTACTAATTTTGAAAAGTGTAGCCACAGAAATTTAAATAATCCATTTCATTGGTATACCCGTTTACTACCACCTAACAAAATAGAAAAAATGATTTAATATACAAATATCGTTATATGTTTTCGCATGGCCAAAATTTTCATTCAGTCGATTAAAATTTGAAACATAGAAACATCAACTTGTTCAAGAAGAATTGTAAATCCCATCAGTTTAAACTTTATACTCAAAGCAGGTTGGCCAATACTTTCTTCTTGTTTTCCTTTTAAAAACTGTCTTTCATTAGTATATATTATATTCTGGAGTGCTTAAAGTCTTAGCCTAAAGTTGTTTTATGAAGTAATCTAAAGAAAAGTTTTATGCCATAGATCTTTGGTCAAATTTTATTTGGACAATTGCTGGTGAAACCAATTCTCAACTGTCTTAAGACTCAAGATTAGTGAGTCTGTCTTCCATCTCAATGCGATGCAAGTTTATTTTAAGATTCTGAAAATTTTGTAGTAGCGTTTAACAAAGTTGGGCAACATGGGATATGGTTCATGTAATCTGTATTTTATATATAAAGACTTTTTTCTATGTTTCTATTACAAATCTGTTTTATGGAGAAGGTTGCAAGAGATATAGACAATGTGGATTCATAATCACATGTATAATCCTTCGTTAGTGGAGATAATCTAAGTGCCTTTTTTTTTTATCAAATAATCTAAGTGCCTATGTCCACCCACTTTCTCATATTTGGAATCTTTCCCTTAGCTCCTAACTAGATGACTATGTCAAGTGGTCACCAAGCAGATCTGGTCCCCCAGCAAGAAAAAACCTATGACATATATAAACTCTTAAATTACATTTTAAAGCTAATTCTAGGAATGGCAATCTTTGTTTTCCTAGTAATAGGATAAGCCAATATATATATATGCTTGTATGTGTTCTTAAACCATACAGACATTATTAGAGTCCTCCAGCTGCATAAAGGAACGAGGAACATATTATTCGATGCATAAAACATTATTAATAAAAAGTCAAAAACAAAGTTCCATTGGATCCGCTAAGAAAGAAAAAAAGGGGAAAGTTAATTGCATGTTGGACTTGGACATCATTTTGCTTTTAGTTATTTCCAATAAGAAATATTTGATGTATAACATGATTATCATGATAAGAAACAGTGACAAAACAATCTACCTGCATAAGTTAATTGTAGGTCCACATGACATGTATATTGCATATCGAGGAGCGTACGGTTGAGCTTCTGAGGATTAGTTAACGAAATTGGAGTATGTAAATACTAATCGATCTAGGGGTGAGATTACGCATATTATGTTAGCTACAGTTGAACGCTTACTAAATTTAAAACAAAATTATATTAATTTTCAAGGTTTTCGATAATCAAAGTATGGCAAATTTTAAAACCAGATTTTTGCAAAACAAATCGAACTTGCATCTTATATAAAAAGGAAATTGAAGCATCTTCAACACATATTTATCATGTCACCATATGAATGCCAAAATCAATTCGACTACGGATTTATTGAGGTGAGAAGAGATTAGAAGAAGATAGATGGAAGCAACCAGCGAAAATGAGTAATGCAGATTCGCCTGGAGATATACATAATTAAAAGGGAGACAAGATGGGACATTTCTCCAGCCCCTAGCGAAGACTTTAGTTTATAAGGGTTTACATAATTATTACTTTTGCACAAAGAAAAGCTTAATTAAATTTGAAACCACCCAATTAGCTTTTCATTGAGTTAGTAAGATTCGCAAATCTGTGAGCCCTCTTTACATATACTTAATGTGATTTGATGTATACAAGTGTGTGCGTGTGAATCTTAACGTTAATCACGCAAACGTAGTCGTGGAACAAGGAGTCGTCATTTGGTACGTAATTTGTGGGGAACATGTTAAGATGTTAACATCTGAGACCTTTTTTTGGTCGCTCCTCTTTTTTTTTTGTTCTTAAGAAACCCAACTTTTAATTGACGGTATTGACCTAGTAGTGTTCACATTACTTATCTTTGTCTTCTGATGCTTTTTCCCAGAGCCATCTTAGTGAGGGTATTTTGATGAGTCTTTCATCATAAATAAATAGATTAAAAAAAATTAAGAGAAAAGAAAGAGACCATCTCTCCAAAATTAATTCTTACAAAAAATAAATAAACTCAAATAACATGTGTCCACTAATGAGTGATTTACATTATTTTATAATTAAAAATTTAATAAATTAATTTCTTGAAAAATTTAAATGGTTCTCTCACCAATATAGATGCTCTTACTTATTTTCGATTAAACTGAGCATTATTCAAATCTAGATTTCAATATTTTAATATATGGTAAAGACATGTTTATTCATTCTACCCATCACTTTTTTTTTCAACTGCCCATTTCTTTACTAAAGTCTTCACTTAACATTTTTTAAATCAAGGTTTCAAAATTTTGATATACTTGGACAAATACTTCTAAGTATCACTATTATCAATTTACTGATCTGTGTTAGTGTCATCATTATTATTCTTTATGTTTTCACAAAAATTCTAAGAACATTATTTTTGAAGTTTTATACATTTTAGTAGTTAATAATGATACTTGTAATTTTTGTAAAAATAAATAAATAATTATAAGTTTTAATTTATCAAAATAATTAATGATAGAAGATAGTGTATTTTATCAAAAAAGTTATAGTTTTCTTAATAGTGGAAAACCATGAAAATATAAAATATTATATAAAAATAGTTTATTATGACTTGATTAAAAATCTGATTCGATATGGTTAGATGTATCATAATATGATTAAAGTAAAAAAATATTTTAAAATAAATTATTGATAATATTGAATTCAAGTAGAAGCAAAAATAAATTATTCAGTTTAATTTAAATAGTAAAAAGTATGACAATTTATAGAACTCATGAGTAATCTCAGCATTATAATGATTACTGGTTAAATTTATGTACATATGTAATTTAAATATGACTAAATTCACAAAAATGAAAATTATTGTTTTCATTAGTTAAAAATTTAAAGGTTTAATACTAGTTCTATAATCCAATTTCCAAGTAAAATAGTTTCTCTTTGTGGATTTATTAACCTATGAACTTATTGAAAAGCAAAAAAAAAAGCATTCATCATAGTTCTATGTATTGTAATATAATTTTCATTTTATATCTAGTACATGTAAAATGACTTTCTATGGTATAATTTCTTACATATTAGTCGATGTAAAATTTATTGAAAATTTACGAATATAATGTTTATCTTATAAGCAATACATGAACTTTGGAGCAGACTCAGCAGAGAAAGAGAAAAAAAAGAGATTCAGTTTGTATAAAAAGAGTTTTCCAAAGAAACTGATACTGGTTCATCCTATTTTGTTTTGTTACATCAAGTGTATATTTGTATATTTGCATAAGAACTATGCTGTAAAATTCAGTAAATAAAACTTTGCTGTGAAATTGTTTTTATTATTCATTATAGTCGTATACTTTGTTTGTGATTAGTAAATATAAGAGTACAGTTGAGTAAATAAAAATGGTGAAACTGAGTTGAAAGAAAATTAGATGTAAGGAGAAAAGAAAAAATTAAAACCAGGATAAATATATATCTCTTATAAAATTTAGATTAAAAGTCAAAGTGTATTTTTCTCTTTTTATTCAGTAAATGGTTGAAAGGGTAAAAACATTTTTTATCTGATTGGTAAATTTATATAGCTGAATCCAGAATAAATTTAAATTTAAAGTAAATTTTTATTCTATCAATATTCATTCAATAGTAGTAGTCAAGTAATTTGATTGTCACTAGAATTAAAATATAAATAAATTTTAAGTTCTTAGAGTTATGATGATGTAACAGATATAGAAACTCAACTTCAAAATGCAAGCTGACTTCCGAAGACCGAGTGTCATTTTTTCTTCTATATAATCATCAATAAGAAAGCGTTGCTAGAGATGCAAGAAAAAATTTAACAATATTCGATAAAATGCAAGTTATCTGACTCTGATGAACTTTGAGATCGTATCTGAATATAGATACGCACGATAATGCACCGCGGGCACGTGGGCCACGCAGAAGTGTGATGAGGGCCGCTTAAGACCCTTTTACTTTTCATATCTTCGCTTTGGTTCTCATGTTCCTTGTTCACACAGTTTCAAACTTTTCCCTTGAAAGTCATATTTCACATCACATTCCACATTATATGTTTGCCCCTTTTTTTTCCTTCTTATTCAATAAACAATACAAGTATGTTTATGCTACTTGTTTGCATGTACTCCTTTTTGAAATCTTTTTACTTCCTATAATATTATTTGGAACATTTAAAGATTAGGTGAATTTGTTAACCAAAACACTCTTTTTAAACGAAACACATTTCGTGTTTTTCTTGTGACATATGTTGTTTCGTTATAATATATATATATATATATATATATATATCATCTAAAGCATTTGAATAACTAATCAATCGTCCAAATGTTTCAGCCTAATTCTAATCTCATCGTTTATTAAAAATGCACATTTTTTTGTTAAGAGGTTGTAAATTTGAGAAAACCTACAAGCCTAGAACGAAAAATAAAAGATTTGATGGAAAGAAAACAAACAGAGACATTTGTTAGTTAGAATTACATAAAAAGAAAAGAAAAAAAGTAGGTGGGAAACATATAATTTTACTTTACTCGAAGAGAACAAGTAGAAAAATTAACACACATAAAAGTTTAAGCCGAAACTCGAAAATTCCTAAAACTGAAGAAAAAAAACGAGACAAATAGTGGGTCCCATTATCCATGTCGTCTCGGTCCGTGTGTTCCTCAAACTCCCACTTTCACAATTCTTTTTACTTCTAGGGATGTCCGAATTACAAAGTTTTTTAAAATAATCATATCTTTCACACACAACACTTGCAGTCTTGCACAGTGTCTCCCATGTTACTGTACAAAGTCCACATCTCAGTTTCTTCCACATTTCTTATATATATATGCCTTCAACACATCCATGATCCACCTCCTCTTATTATAAACTCATCTCTCTCTCTCTCTCTAAAACATAGTAAGAAAAATTCTACATAATATAATGGAGGAGATTGATTTTCGTTCAAAGCCATCTTCTGGTCTAAAGCTATTTGGATTCAACGTCGACGGAGAAGAAGATTTCTCCGATCAGTCGGTGAGAACTGACCAATCAGAGACTAGTGAGTTTCCGGCGGGATCTTCCGGAGGAAGTGGTGGTGTAAGAAGCCGAGGAGGAGGAGGAGGAGAACGTAAGTATGAGTGTCAATACTGTTGTAGAGAGTTTGGTAACTCTCAAGCTTTGGGCGGTCACCAAAACGCTCACAAGAAAGAGCGTCAGCAACTCAAACGCGCTCAGCTTCAAGCTACACGAAACGCAGCCGCTAATTATTCTAACGCTGCTCCTTTCCTAAGGAATCCTATAGTCTCCGCCTTTGCTCCTCAGCCTCACCACCTATCTTCCGCCGTGTCTCCGCCGGGGGGAGGAGGAGGTTCTTGGATGTATCTTCCACCACGTGTATCGCCGTCTCACCTTCACGTGCCACATGGATGCGTGATTCAAGATGGTGCGGGTGCGGGTGCGGTTGGGTTCTCGTATGATTCAGGATTTAGGTTTAATGGGTCTCAGATGAGACACGTTCAGACCCATGGGCCGAGACCATCGGTTAATGGGTTTTCACGAGAAGTGGGACCCACTTTTGATGATGGATTAGGGTTGGATTTGCATCTGAGTCTTGCACCAGCTGGTCATTAACGTTTAATCATATGCCCCCTGCAAGTATAGCAGGAGGTTACCTCGTGTATAATTTTAATTTTCTACATTTTAATTGATTTTATTTATTTTTAGTGATTTTAAATTCGAGTAGTTGTTTGTCTAGCAAAAAAGTATGTAGCCTTCAATCATGTTTCACATTCGAGAAAGTACTCCTCAGAATGCTCTAACCAATTTGATGAACAAAGTTCAAGAAGATAAAACTTATTGTGTCCCTAGTTGAGATTTCAGAATTGCTCAAGTTTTGAATCTGTCGGTCTAGACTATAGTAAATTAACAAAATAATGTAAATAGACAGCAGACGACAAGCAAATAATAGAAATAAAACTGCAGGTACTCTCCGATCTGAGCTAAAAGATTAAGACAACTCTACTAAGTTTTCGTGACAAAAATAAAAAAGACAACTCTACTAAGTCGGTGATTGGTTCGATTTATATCAATTCTTTAGATTTTTTTTTAAAAAAATATTTCATACATTTTATTTAAATATGTACAGCCAACAACTTACTGATATATCCAAAATATGACCACATCAAAACAAAATTGTAAAAAAAATCTAGATCAATAAATTTATAACCACAACTAAATCACACACAACATAAATTTTACGTCTAAATTTATTAAGATATACTCCAACTAATCATCCACTCAATATAATCTCAAAACTATATCAAATTTGATATTCAAATGCGTCAAATTTGATATCTTGATGATGTTTTAAGTTCATTTCTATCTTTACCACATACCAAATTTGCACCAAAAAATTATATTTTTATTTATTTCTTAGTATTAGTACGTTAGTTATTTTAATGACTAATTTTTATTTATTATATTTATAGAATGTTTAAACTTACAAAACTATGTAACTTATGTATGCAGATCCATTGGATCTTAATATTTATAAAACCTTGTATAGTTGTATTAGCCATTTTATAGTGTCCACTAGAATACCGGAAGTGGTGGGTATTAAAACATTCTTACAAGTTTTTTTGGGGTGTAATTCTTACAAGTTTGCGGCAGAATTTAGCTTAAATTAGTCAAAAGTCGCTCGACCTTTTTGTTATGCGTTTGAAATGGATACGGCTCCAAAGTTCTGAAGTCTATGCACAATCTATTTTATTCTATATTGATCCTATAAGCATATCATTATCAGTCAACTTATAACTGGTGTCTTTACTTTTGGAATTGTCGAATTTAATTGGGTTCTCATTTACAGAAATGTTATATTTATACAATTTGTCAAGCCTCTTTAAACCAAATTTTTTTCTTTAAACCAAAATGAACGTAGGAACTTACAAATTCTAGAATATGGCAGATTCTGTCCATGTTATTGTTTTAGTCGATTACCGTACTAATCTAACACAATTTGGTTACATGCTTGGGGATTGTAGAAACAGTGAATCTTTTGTTTAATTATGGGCATCAGAAATATGATTTAGCTCCAACTTATCAAAGTCAAATTCTCTTTATTCTTATGTTTGATTATTATTTCTCTTTGGGAGAATTCGCTACCAACGGCTATAAAAGAGATGAAAATTCATAATACATAGAGATAGTTTTGAATATTAGAATATGTATACGATATATACTTTTAAGAAAGTACACCGGGGAACTCTCTGGATATAATGTGGATGGAAGAATTAAGCTTGTAGTGAGGCTTGTACGTATATAACGTATGTATTAATGTATGAGCAATGTGCATGCATAAAACATACACAGGCCAGAAGATACCAATTCCTTGGATTTTCGTGTGACTAGGAGAGGTGATGATAATCATGGTACGTTTGTGCGGCTTTAAATTGAAGGCTGTGATACAAAACATACACACTATGTATAGTGGAGGAATCTTACCCCTAAGCTGGTATTTAAAAACAATATATATATATTTGAATATGGATGTGTATTATTACCAAAAGAACTTAAACATTTTTTCATTCTAAAATGCATGGCGTAACATTTAGAAAATAATACATGTCACAAGTTAGGGAGGAATCCCCGGATACCGGAATTTGAGATAATAAATTGTTATTTATAATCAACCATATGATATATTAATATGTAGGAAGGTAGGCTAGCGCATTTCTTGTTTAAACATGAAATGGGATCCTAGTCACGATGACCAATAATTTATATACAAAGACACAAAGTATCATTGTTTTAGGAAGTTTAATAATGCAAGAGGCACATATATATTTTAGATGCTATGGTGAACTGGGGCAGCTGGGTAGTACGAAACTTAAACAAATTAAGGTTTAGAAACAGAAAGTACTTTTGAACATTGATTAGTTAGAGAAATAGAGGATTGGATGGAACGGTTTTAAGTTTGGTATCAGAACAATCCACGTAGACTCTTTTCTACCACTTGGAGAAAGCTTTTCCATAGTTGCTAAGGAGCTTCTCTGATTATAAAACAACCATGTCGTATAGGATTTTTGTTATTGTTTTGTGTCAATAGTGAGATTATCAAAAGCTTAGGTTTAGCTTTCTAAATGCCACTTGGTCCACAGCTTTGACTGAGTCCTAGCCCAATGAGTCTAGGTAAGTTTCATGTGCAAGAACTATAAAACCCAAAGTACTCTCTGTCAATAATTATACAAAAAAATTATATGTTTATGGATCTGTGGTATAAATCTACGGAGTAGAAACCCACTACATTGGTGATGGTGTGGTAACAACAACATGTGCGTATCTGTAAAAGGTACCCTTCTGGAAGGGAAACTTTTTTCAGAGTCCCAAAACGTGCTCTTTTGCTGCATCATGTGTCCTTTATAAGGAATCATCAAAGTACCCATCACACAACTAATCATGCAATGTATCTACCCTAATCTAAAAGGCACCCACTAAGTTATAACTCGTTGTCAAAAAGTTATAATTTTGAGGGTGCGTCTTAATTTTTTCTTTTGCTTTACCACTCTGACAACTACGCATATACTCTCATCTCGTACATTATCAAATCTGAACATTGTTTCTTCAATAAGTAAAAGAAAATTCTCTCTACACCAGCTGGTGTGGTTTCTACTTCTCTCTACACCAGCTGGACAGTAATCTAGACTTTTAACATAGCAATACCAAATTCTTGAACAACCTGTGTAAAAAATTATACATACACATGTGAAAAGAAAGTACTATAGTATTCATCACACTTGAGGTCCGACTGTATCGAAGTGCTGTGGATACTTGTTCAAATGTTAGATCATATTAGGAAAAAGCATTAAAGCATATTGTACTTTATTTTATCATGCATTTTAAAAAGTTTATTTAAAATAAAACAATCAGAACTTTCAAAGAGAGTGATTTCTCAACTCTTTAAACAGGGAACCTATTCCATATATGCATATATGTTATGTTTGTTTACTTCGACATGGTCTTGTAAATTTGATATTTTAAAATAAATTTTCATATCTATTGTTACTATAATTTGTATGCATTTGATTAACTTTATATTATTTTATGCATATATAAATTAGATATAAGTACACATCGACTTCATCAAATCAACCCCGAATGTGGAGATAAGGTAATGCCAAAGTACGTTGGAGGTTTTGGTAGGTTAGGGACAAGCACTAAGAAACATGATAGGGCTTGCGTGGAAAGTGATATACGACAAGAGTAAGAACAATCCCTAGAGTTTGGCTTTCTTTGACGTGAAATATGGACAGAGAAGAAAGATGATGGGGTGTTTGTGTCGAAGTCTCGTTGGTTCTCGTGAGTCTATAGCTTGTATGCCCGAAGAAAGTTCCTTTCTTTATAAACCTTTTGCAAAAATGATCTCGATGGAGGAATTCAATATAGGATAAGAATAAAGTACTAGATCTTGTCGGGATAGACTATTTCCAATTTATATTCAAGATTCTCGTTTGTTTGAAAATTTTGATTATGGGATTTTTTTTCTTTGATAACTAGGGCGGCTGAACTTCTATCACCCAACGAGTCCCCCGTGTAGAGTAATACACTCACCGGCACCATTTCGACTTGTCAAATGAGAGTGAAAGAGATCATCGACCAAACCCAAAAGAATCATGTCCCTAGACCTTTTACTAGACCATCCACCATTGGCTAAACAGATGATGAATTTAGTTAATGTACTATGTACTTAAAATCAATCGAAAAGAGCTTTAACTCATGCGTTCTATTAAATTGCTAGACTTGTTATCTTTGTTTTGTTTTGGTAAACAATGATGTTCGTTCCCTGTATCACCCCTAATCAATCTAGGCCTCGAACAAGCGGATTGATAATATTGTGGGTAATGAGTATCAATTTTCAGTCCACATGGCCAGCTGATTAGGAGGACAAACCGTGCGAGACTGGTCGAGACGCAAGCATGTGTCCGCGTATTTAAATTGTTAAAAGGGTTCAATTTTTATATATGCTTATTTTTATACAAAAAGTTCCAATTTTAATAAATTAATTGAAAAAGGCCCCAAAATATTTTTATATATGTAGTTTTGTTCTCAACACAAGATTTATAAAAATATTACTAATAGATTTTAAAAGTAAACAAAATTATATAAACTTTTAAATAATATAAAATTTTGAAAGTTTAACTTTGCCCTAAGGTTTAATGTAGAGCTCTACCGTTTGTATGGCACTCACTAATTGATGACCCCAAACGTAATTGAAGTATATGGATTTAAATAACTTTCTATGGAAAAAGTGGAACTCCCATGAAAACGACCAATATGGCCTGTCTGAACTTAGAAATAAAGAAACTATGACTAAATCTCATGATGTTTGGGAGTTTGTTGCAACTAGTGTAAGCTATGAATTTTTCTAATGTGTCATCAATTACATAGTTTGTGTGAAGAAATGATAAACGAATAATTATGCAGCCTTAATCGGATAAGTTGATCCGGTGACCTAGTTATCCCAAAAACATTCATTTTTTTCCCGCTCGAGTTTAAAGCACTAGTAGTACTTGTATTTAAGCACAATCCAGGAAATCTCTGACTTTACTCACATGGGGCATAATGTGTGTTCGTTTTAGTTTATTTCTTAACTCGTTGGTCCACAAAAAGATACCATATTGCAATTGAAGGGACCTGAGGACCCAAGAAAACTTAAAACAAAAGTGCACGTTCGTCCTCGATACATATAGATATTAAATTAATTATGAACACTCGAAGTGGACTATCGTACAAGACTGTCCCCACCAGTCTTAGACCACAATACGACGCAGAAGTGGTTAATAAACACTTCTTAGTCTGATTCTTGTCGATCTCTCATTCGTTGCTTCATCACTTCTTTCTTTTTTTTGCTTCAACTTCAATATCGTCTGTTGCATGTTTGCATGTTACATAGCCTCCGTATACTATGCATGGACTCTGCGAACATGCAAACGACTGGAAGACCCGATAAAATGGCTAAAAGGGTACATTTCTCTAAGCCCATAAAAGTTTGTGAACGGAAAATTTCTCAGTACGACCTCAGAGAGCCCAATACTAAGTTCTTGAAGATCATGAAGCGATAAAACTACATGGCCTACCCACCCAAACACAATTAATTCCCAAATAGAGTAAAATCATGATTTTGAAGTTCTCAAGCATCTCAAATATTAATAATACAAACGACGTGGGAAAATAGGAAATACAAAAGTAAATGGTTACAGAAATAAAAAAAAACTGTTGGAAAAGAAAAATCAAAAATAACTATAACACTCAATCAATCAAATTCTCGCTCTTGCATCCTCATCTCATGATAGAACTTTTGGATGAATCTCTCAGCCTTGAGATCAATCGAATCATCATGAAAGTAATCGAAAGGATTTGAAAGCTTCCTTGATGGAGAAGCAACTCCTTGGGCACTATGCAGAGGCTCCATCTCTATCATCCAACTTTGTGTTAGTGTATCAACAACACACTCATCATTGCACTGGCCGATGCACCGTGAAAGAATTAATAGATTGTAAATTTGTTTAAGACCCGATCTAGATATGCGAATTCGCTTCCTACAATATCGGATAAGGGATGCACGTGAAGGCGAGAATTGATACTCTTGTAGAAACTTGTAGTTGTATTGCTGAAGGAGCTTGACCCTCTTGGCTGATGATCTTCTTTGTTTCGCTGGAAGCTTGAGTCTTGGGATAATTGGTCTTCTCAAGAGCGAGACTTTTAGTAATTTTGAGGCCTTCTGGAAAATGGGTTTTCTTCTTTGGAACATTTTGATTGAACGTTTAAAATGTTTCTTAGTGTTCAAAATTTATAACAAGTGGAAAGTTTGAATTTTTAGATCTAGTTAGGACCAGGAGCGCCAAAGCCAACCTGTTAAAAGTCATGGTCGGTTGTCCTTTTTAGAACCTACCTTTTCAATTAATGTATATATGTGTTAAGTAGCCGTTGGAAGAACCTTTGCAGTATATTTCAAAGTTCAAAAAAGAAATAACACTATTATTGACAACTTTACTAAACTCAATTTTATTATATAGTTTCTCACCTTTTTTTTTTTTGCAACGCAAACATACTTGATAAAAATCATAACCACCTACAAATGGATAGTTTCTCTTTCCCAACAATTGGACCGAACCAATTTCAAATAGCATGATAAACACTAAAATGTGTTTCTTTTCCTAGTTAAGAGATCAGTATAACAATTTTCCCCACCTACAAACATTTTTTTATTAAAAGAATAATGAGCTCGATAACAATAAACAGCCCTTGATTCCTCAGAGCTTCCGTGATGCTGCCATCTGTATAGAGGAACTAGGGTTAGACAAGTTTGTATAAATACCTATGCTAAACGATTGTAAAAGATTAAGAGATTGAAATACAAAAACATAATATTTTCAGTTATCTGCTTCTGATTACAGTTTCTACCTAAGAACCAAAATTTATGGAAAAAAAGACATTTTACATAAGAATATTTCATCTTTTAGGATCCGCTTTTACATTTTACCCGATCAAACCGTAATTAGTAATCATATTATTAAAACAAGACTATTATATGCTGTTCAAATCATATAGTAATTTATATTTCTTAAAGAATATATCAATTACAAAACGTTTAAAAGACTATGACGCATGGGTGATACAATGTTAAAAAAGTTACAAGTATTGGCCTCAACTAAACAAAAATTAACATGTTCGTTATCATTTATAATTATACCTAGTCAAGTTTGCAGGTGATGCCGTAATGGATCTCTGTCCACCGAACTTCAAAAACAAACGTCACGTATAAAAAGTCCTTGAAAAAATAAAAACAAATACACTATCCATTTGACATTTCTAGCGTAAGCCCAGACTAAAAGACGGTGAGGCCCAAAACATACCCTCCTCTCGAGTCTATGAGATTATGGGAGAAAACGGCGATTAGTACCTGAACAATGGTCATATTGTCTGAACAATACCCAAACTATTTCATTGTGCGAATTTATACCTGAGTTAATACAAATTTTGAATTTAGTACCTGAACTATGGTTATATTGGCTAATCAATATCCAAACTATTTTACTATGCGAATTCATACCTGATCTAATAAAAATTTTGAATTTGGTACCTGAACTTATAAATCTGACTTTTATATACTTGCGATTGCCAACATGTCGATATTCTGATGAGGTGGACCGGTTTTTTGATGAATTAGCATTGTTTCAAAAAAGAATTAAAAGAAAACAAAAATGAAGCCGCCTTGGTTCGACTCCGTTTCTGAACATATTCATAATAATTTTACTAATAGGATAAAATCCAAATGACCTTGGAATGGTGTCTCTGTTTATCACCACAATGTCTCAAATGATTCATCAATCTCATATAATTAATCGTTGTTTGTCACCGCCATGTCTCAAATGATTCATCAAATTTCATATATTTAATCGTTGTTTTGATGAAAACATTTGATAAGATTTGATGAAACTAGATTAAAAAACGATCATATGAATTCAAAACATAAAGAGATTTGATGAATCATTTGAGACATGGTTGTGATGAACGGAAACACCATTCAAAGGTTATATAGTTGTTTCGATACAACAAAATGACGAATTGTTTCTGGTATAAACGGTTATTGTCATTATTATGTTTATGTTTTTGGACCCGGTTCGAATTAATTAAGTTGTCTCTTTTTTTTTTCTTTTTTTTGAAACAACGTCAACTCATCAAGAAACCAGTCCACCTCTGTAGAATACCGACATGTTATTAGTCACATGTATGTAAAAGTCAGTTTTTATAAATTCATGTACAAAATTCAAAAATCTTATTAGATCAGGTACAAATTCGCACAATGAAATAGTTTAGATATTGATCAGATAATATGACCATAGTTCAGGTACCAAATTCAAAATATGTATTAGATCATGTACAAATTGGCACAATAAAATAGTTTGGGTATTGATCAGATAATATTAGAGATGGCAATTGGGCTTTCCCGTCCCGTTCCGTTCCGTACCGCAGCGGGCTCATCGTCGAGCGGGTCACGGCGGGCCTGTCCCGCGCGGGCTGCGGTCTTCCAAATGACTACCCAATCCCGTACCGCATAATTTATAAGCCTTCGCGGGCCGTCCCGCGGGACGTCTCCTTCAGCTTCCTTCATGAATATTAAAGTAGAAGAGTTGTGTAAAGAAGTTGAAGAGAGCTGAACAACATCGATCACAACAACATCTAATGTGATCACTCGCTGGTTTAATGGTCTTGAAGTAAGTGAGAGCCATTTGGACAGTAAAATTTAACTCTTTTAAGAATATTCCTTGTTTGATTCTTTGTAAAGCAACGTCTCTTCATAGCAAAAATAATTTAATACTAATGTTTCTTCTTCTCTTTCAACCAAGCTGTTAAACTTAGAGTGTGACAAAATTCTGCAGTAACCCAAACTCTCATTTCGAGCCGTTAAAAGAACAAACAGTAGCTCGTCAACAAGCAGTAACTCTTTAAAAACATCATTGTAACAAAATTTAATTTTTTTTTAAAACACCACTTGACAATACTGAAAACAAAATTCATCAACTTAAACAAGAAAATTTAACAAGGTAATAAGGCAATTTATAGTACTGAAAACAAAACCAAACATAAATGAGGACTTATGGTTGCGGGTCTTCAAAATCCCGCGGGTTAACCTGTCCCGCATTCGGCCCGTCCTGTTTTGAGCCCGTCCCGCATTCGGTCCATCCCATTTTGAGCCTGTCCCGCGAGGCCCGCAATTTTGCGGGCTTATCAAATAAATGCCCAATCCCGCCCCGCAGCAAGCCTTTACGGGCCAGGCCCGCGGTACAGGTCTTTGATTGCCATCCCTAGATAATATGATCATAGTTCAGGTACTAATCGGCCGTTTTCCCGAGATTATGCGGTGGGTTATAAGATCCACGGCTATGATGACAAGTCAAACAATCGTACGGTTTACAAGCTATCCATCACTTAACACGATATCCCGAAAATACCCTTATCTCCTTAAACATTCATATACAAATAACAAACTCTCCTTCCTCCTTCGTTCTCTCCAAAACCAAATCCAAAGCAAAAAAAAAAAGAGTTTGAAAAATTTCCCGATTCAATGGTGTTTTCCGGTGAAGTAGAAGACTACACGGCGACGAAGACGCGACGCGAGAGGCGCAAGACTCGTCACAACTTCACCCTCCCGGACTTGAAGTGGGGAGTTCAGCGAAGTCTCCGGTGCATCAGTCTCCAATCTCACGGCGGCGTTGATAATCGGAGATCATCGGAGAACGGCGGCGAGGAAGGGATCGAGGAGTATGGGGAGAAGATCATATCGGATGTTAGGACGGAGGCGGAGAAGAAGATGAAGAAGTCGATTCTCTGGGAGGTTTCTCCGCCGGGAGTAGCGGCGGAGGTGAAGCCGTGGAATCTACGGAAGAGGAGAGCAGCTTGCAAGGCTCCTCCCGAACCTGAAAACTGCAACGAGGTGAAGTTCGTGTCGACGTTGTTGAAGAAAGAGATGGAAGATGATTACATGATACTTATCAAAAAAAAAAGAAGATGATTACATGACGATGATGGGCCAACGTCCACCGCGACGGCCCAAGAAGCGTCTCAGAGCTGTTCAGAAACAGATTAATGTAAAGTTGGAATGAACCCCAATTTTTAATTTTCTTCAAAGTTTCAATTTTTTTTTTTTTTTGATTTCTTACTTTTTTTTTTTTCAATGGTTACTATTACAGTTGTTGCATCCAGCTTTTTATTTTAGTGAAGTTACTGAAGATATCTACGAAGTTCCAGAGGCTGTAGAGACCAGAAAGGTATGATCTTTTACAGTCCCAAGATTTGATTCGTGCAAAAAAAATTAAAATTTTGTTTGCTAATTCATGATTTTTACTAATTCTACAGAGATGATGATGTTGGAGGATAAGTACTAATTGAAGTTTGGAGTTTGCACAATTTTGTTTCTTTTTAGCTATTCTTTTGTAAGGTTCTGATGTAATTAGCAAATGGAACAAGATCAATAAAAAGGGATGAACATTTTTTTTTACTGAGTCTTGCCTTTTGTGAATGTTCAAGGTCCATAGCTTTGTGTTGTAATTGTGTGTGTTTTGGGCGTTATGATTCTGTTTTTTTTTTGGTGCATTTTTGTGTAAGAAGCTGCAACGTGTTTTCTGAAGCGTGTACGATTAGGAATTCAAGGAGGGTGTGCTATACGAAAAGGTTGACTAATTGTTCCGTGTGGAGGGCTTTTTTTCTTTCCCGCGTTTGATTGTTTCCTTGTGCCTGACTCGTTTGTATACCGGTTTACTATTATCCGGTCTGGTTCAATTCAGATAACCAAATGGTTATCATAAACTTTACAACTAGTAAAAAGTTTAGTATTGGTAGTTTCTCAACAATTGAGAAAATAGGAATAGAAATAGAAACGAGAGTATTTTATTTTTCATTTCGTAATTTTTAATAGTTTCTATTTTTTTGACAGAGAAAAAAGTTAAATCCGAGTTTCTTAATGGTACAACACACCAATAAACCGTTTCTAAATATTCAAATAAACTGAAAGTAATATTTCATATCTATGTGGCTAGTGAAATTTGAACCAAAATTCGCCATATTAGTTTATTTCTCTCAACCGCCATTCCATTATCACCACTCGTTAATAGTTTATGTAAAAATAATTTTTTGAGAAAATTTTATGAGTTTTAACATATATAAACAATCCTAGTCCAAATATCTTGGAAGTTCTGTCAAATTACCGAACCAGAGTCTGACAAGCCCACCTGACACCTCTTTGTGTGCTCTCACGACCTCATGACCGATGTAAAAAGCCATTTAAAGTCACTATTCTCACACGATTCAATTACTACATGTTATCTTCTTCTTTTTTTTACTGCATATTATCTTATTTATTGGTAAATTTATTTACTCGAGATGATACATTTAATTATACTCTAATCTAACCCCAAAGATCCAATCAGGCAATCAAACGAGGCGTTCCTATTCTTGTTTTTTTGGTTTTTTAAATTACAGACAGTACTCACATGATGTCTAATTTCCACATGTGCTGTCGATATTCCATCATTATACAACAAACAGTAAAAAATAAATAACAAAGACATTTTCTGTTTACATTTATTCTCTCCTCTCCGGCCACAAAAGACAAGAGATGTTTTCATAATGTCTTCCTATTCATGTTACCATTACAGAGTGATCCAATGCTGAAAAATCCGTCGGCAACATTCGAGATGAATGCCGGCGGTGGGAAATTCAAGACCGGACTAACTCGAAAGCCACCGTTTCCGTTACCTAAACTGTTTCTGGCGAGTGGTTTCTTATAAGGGAGTGAAGATGAGAGCGAAGATGATCTTCTAAGAGACGTTTGTTTTGGAAGATTGTGGTTGTGATGAGTTTCCTTGTGGAGTAAGTTAGGTTTAGGGTTTAGAGCAGAACCTGTGGAGTTGCTTCTTGAGAGGAAATGAAGCGATCTGATGCTGTTTCGGCTCTTGTCGTAGTTGAGACTTATGCTTCTCTTGAACTGCAAGAACAGTCCCTTTGTTGGTTTGTCTTCAAAATCAGAGTCAGGACTCAACAGAAGCTCTTTGAGTCTCATGATCTTCTTTTCTGGTGCTGAAGAAGAGGAGGAGGAGGAGGAAGAAGAAGATGATGATGATGAGAGAGAGGATGATCTTTGAACCCGAAAGGTTACCTTCTTGATCTGAACGGGAAGAATCTTGCCATCGGAGAAGAGTTCGTCAGCAGGAGACAGTAGTTCTTGAACAGAACAACTTGAGCCAAAGCAGAAATCAAACTCCGAACCTGAATCAAGAAGTGTTGAGTCTAATCTGACTTCATTGTCCGTAGAGTAGGAAAAAGAGTTTCTTGGGCTGGTTCGAGAACCAGGAGCCTCTGAACAGCAAACCTCAATAGCCATAACTTCTCACACTCGGTTGCTCTCTCTATCTCTCTTTAATGTGCCTTCTTATGGTATCATTTAAGAGCCAATGCCCGGGAAAAGAATAAAGAGACCCTAATGATTTGGAAAGAGCGTTAAAAGAATGGAGAAATGAAGAATATTTTGAAATCAAAGTATAGAGGAAGAAAAATGAAGCTTCTAAAGTCAAAATTGGCTGCTTCTTCAACTTTTCTTTTGTAGGTTGTCTTGAGAATAATGAGGAGACAATATGAGATGGAAGGATTAATCCGATGTTTGTTTACCCTATTGGGTTTCACAATAGAACATAAAGAAAAAGGAGAAAAGATAAAGGAGGAGGTAAAGAACAAATTAAATAAAAAAGTAACATCCAGATTTTGATCTATCTGAAAAACCAATATAAAAAGATTCCTATTATATGGTCTTTGTTCGTGAAAGATACTTAAAACGTAGCTATGCGGTTTATGCGACATAAAATATTGTTAATGTGTTCATCATAATCCATATAAAACAAATGATATATTCAATCAAACGGTTAATGATGAGTCGAATCTAACCGACTTTAGTAAAGTTTGGTAACTGTTTGACCAATGAATTTTTTTTATTGTTTGAGTTATTTATATTTACTTGCTAAAAATCAAGAATGTGTCCCACAACTACCTAGTGATTCCCAGGCCTGGTGATTCCTTCTGTTTATCTTTTACATTTTTTGTTGGAAATGACATATGATCATAGTGTCTGTATTAGTACCACAATAATTATTAGCCCGAGGGTATCATTTGATACATTGTACTTTGATCATTGCCATATATAGATAATTGTTTATTACATACATATATATATATATATATATATATATATATATATATATATATCTGTCAAGCGCAGTAACAATATCCACTTATAAATATTTAACCCCATATCAAAAATAGAATTTAATCAGCAGTGCATGTTTCTGGTAGGAAATATTTTCAACAAAAGATAAAAACAAACATTTGCATTTTCAGTACTAATTGATCTTAAACATTTTGTATCTATGAATTAAGATTAAAAATCGATATCAAATGTATAAACACTTATTGATTTTAATGAATCGTTAGATCAATAATAGGATCTAAGTATAAATTATACGTATTGCAGGCGACACCATTATAGTAAGTAATTAAATGGAAAGGCAGGAGATGTTGGGAATCAATTGAAAGTCATTTGCTCTAGTTACGTAATAAGAAAATAGATCGTGTCACTAGGTGCTTTTAATTATATATATGCGACTAGGGAGCATGTGTTTTGGGGTTTGATTGGATCTCTAAAAGAAAGATTTGAGAACACCGTACAAGATCTAGAAAAGCACGGACTTTAAATTGGTCGTGGTTTTGGATGATAATGATGGCAGTGTCAGAGCATGATTATTGCAGGTCCCTTACACTGGGTCCCTTAACGTACAATCTCTTAGCTTTTAACTGAAAACGTTAAGGGACGTCCCTTATATAAGGGATTTAAGGGACGTCCCTTAGCGTTTTCAGTTAAAAGTTAAGGGACCGTACGCTAAGGGACCCAATTTAAGGGATCTGCAATAAACATGGTCTCAGTGTTCGTGTTCATGTGTACGTTGCATGCATGAATAGCACAATAAATGGAGCAACTTCTACGTTGAAAATCTTTTCCTAAAATAAGGGTAACATCTTGATTTTTGGACATGATGCTATATGTAAATACGTGCAGTTATAATAATTTTAAAAATAATTTTTTTTATTTCAAAGAAAAATTAATTTCTATCTAAATATTATCATTTTATATTTAAAATTCATTACAAACAGTGGCAAATCTACGTTGACTAGAGAGGAGACAATTACCCCCATAAAAATCTAGAAATAAAAGTATTTGCAACAACAAGTTCTTTTGTAGCATAAATGGTTTCAGTTCTTTATCCCCCCTTAGACCACCGTTCAACTTCCTTCTTACCACATATTTCCCTTTTATTTATTTTATGTCCCCATAAAAATTTTATCCTAGAATCATCACTGATTACAAGCCAGCTCCACATTGTACCTTTCCGAGTTCTGGATGGCATCCATGACCTATTGTCCTTTTAATGAGCTTTCGAACTACTGGTCCGAATTCTTGGACCGGGTTTGGAGTGAGTTGAAATCCACCTCAAACAAATTGTATACTTTGCAGATGGTAGACTGGTAGTGTGGTACATATGAGTACCATATCAGGGGGAGTGGAATAAAACAGGTCCTGGAAACTTAGGGTGGCTATAATCCTCTTAAGGTGGTCATCACCAATGTTGAATCCAAAAAGGGCATGGAGCTTCATACAAAAATGTGGCATGATGCTCAAACTGCCTAGTGCCCACCCCTTGTCTTTCTACAATGGTAAAAAAAAAGAATTTTAAAGATCTTTTTATCTGTGTGAATTGATGTTAAATATGAATTGGTGTTAACCTTGTTGTATCTGAGGCTTATGGAGTGAGTCAAACTAATTCTCAAATGAGTAGTACCATCCATAGATTGATTTGGTTTTTGATAAATAGGTTACTTTCTCTAAATTTATATACAATTAAAAGATTCAAATAAATATTAGGTGGTTGCCCGTGGTCAAACATGTGCGTAGGAGTCTTTGATTATAACAAATATTTTAAAAGCCCACTACTTAACTAAATTTGCGATAGATTTATTCTTGAAGCCCATGTGATGCCTGGGCCGGTACGCGCAGAGACAGATGGACAGATTTCTGAGTGACTGACTAAAGTTGTTTCTTGTTATATACTTTCCTTATCAATGCACTGAGTTTGTTCTTGCTGATGACAATGAAACTGTTGTTGAAAGTCTTGAAACTATACTTTCTATCAAGGTTCTTTTCCTATTTCCTTGAGATTTGTCAGTTTCTAATATCTTTAATAGAGCTCAGCAGAACTGAAGAGTTGGCTCGATGACATTAACATAAACTCCAGAAAGTGGTAGATTCAATTGCATTTGCCCTTAAATGTACTTGCGTTTGATACGCACGTAACACAACAACTTTTTGCCTTTGTTTTGATATACCTTCTTAAACTGAAGTATGTTAAAAGTCTTCGGTCAAAAATGCAAGCTCGTCAAATTCGAACCATAACCATTGGATATCTCTTTCTCTATCTGCGACTGCAATAGTGTAATGTTGATAGTTACTGTCCTACTAAGCGGCCGAAAGCTATGTGGTAGAGAGACTAAAGAGAGTTTAGTATTTTCACGCATGTGATTTTGATTTTGAAAGAGGTTGTTGTATATTTTTTGCCTTCACATAATAAAATATAAATTGCTCAAAAAGTTTAATAATTGGTTCGACTAATCTGGAGTTTTTTTCTGTTCAGTGAATATTAAAAATACATGGAAATATTATTGCTTATAGATTGAATAAGCTGCCCTTTGCTTTTGGAATTTAAAGGATAAATGGATAGTGTTGCTCACATTTTTCTAGTATTCTTTCACTAGGCTCGATTCTATGCTCTCTCTACATGTGGTTAGTGCACATGACATCGGTATTAGATCACTTTATATTTGTTATTTATTTCAGTATAATTTTCACATATTGAAAGAATGGGTCTGATACGAAATATAATATATATTGATGCTTTACAAATTGCATAATTTCTAAAAATGAATATTATCATTCACGAATTAGTTTCAAAATTGAATCTTGTCATAAACGCACGTGTCATCCACAGTGGACGTGAGCTTTGTTCACTATTCTTGTCTTTGGTTTGACAAAGTTTGATTTTGAATAAAATTGGTTATGGAACTGAGGATTTGATTTTATTGGAAGAATGTGAACAAAATTAACTCGGAACACGGAACAAGAAAAAGAGTAATACTTAACAAAACGGGTTATATATACCCGTCTCAAATAAAAATTGGGTCCTGGGCTAAAACAGATTTATGTAACATTTATCTATGTAAAATTTTTTTTTAAAAAAAAACGGGCCCTAATTTAAGCTAAAAAAACTCAAAATTTGAAATGGGCCCTGTGCAAATGCACCTCCAGCACATGGCCAAAGACGGCCCTATAACATGTAAGGTGTGGTTGTAAGATTTGGTGCCAAAGAAACACTGTTTGATTTGAGAGATTATCATAACTTTTGTTGTAAACATGTCTTATTTCATGAATCAAACCAGCTGGTGTCTCTTCTTTAAACAATTTTCTTGACTTTTGACTTCTCTAGTCTTTCATACTAACCATACCACCAACAACATATACCCACTACTTCGCCATAATTTGTTTCTCTTAACCAAAAAGCATTGGCCTTAAGAACCACTAGATTTTGATTCGCGCTTTAAAAGCGCGAGTATATTTTTACCATTTTGATAAAATTTATTTAGATTAATTATTCAAACACAAAAATTTTAAAATTGTTTTCTTAATATTTAAAAAAGTTCTATTATAATGTTTGATTTTCACGTAATGTTTCCATATCCGACCCAGATCCATAGTTGAACCGGCACATCCGGCAATTTTTATATAATCCAGTTAAGATTTAATTAAAAATTTACTAATTAAAAATTTAAGCCAACCCGGTATATATCTTAAAACCCGCTATTAATCTGTATTATGATATCCGTTGATCCGTTAAATAACCCCATAAAAACTGATAATATATTTTTAAAAAATTGTTAAATAATTCATATTTTTAATATTATAGAAAATTGATTTTTTTTTTGTAATTTCTTTTAAAAAAAGTTTCTTGTCATTTGAAAAAATGAAACAATGGCAATAGAAAAAAAACACAATTTATTCATATAACAATATTAGTTTCTTTTCTTTATTAATAACCTATGATAAGTTTACATATTTACTCATTTTATATCTAAAATTTAGTTTTTAAAACAAATTGAATTGACATATCATTATTATGGATAAAATGAAACAGTATATAATAATTTATAATTTTTTATCGCTAAATAATACGATGCACGGAAATATAATATTAAAATTAAATATAAAATCATAATTTTCATAAAAGGAAAATTATTATTAATCACAAAAATAGGAAATATTATCAGTTACCATAAACACAGGAGATATTAAATTGTTTAATTAATTAAGATTCTAAAAATAAATAATGGTATTATCTTATAAATGTGATAAAAATCTAGGAGTAAAATCCCAAATTTTAACAATAGGATCCTGCTTTAATAGTATAGATTAGTTTCTTCAAACCAAAGACCTGAACATGTTACCAAAAATGCAATTCATACCAACTGATTGTGTAGCCTGATTATTTTTGTGTATATATATAAAAAAAATTCATTGAAATTTAACATATCTACTTAATTAATGAACATTTGACATATACAGTATTGTTTCTGTAGAATCTGACTCCACCTCACTCGTGTCTTTTCTGAAGTTTAACCTCTACCGAATTATATTTGAGCTTCTAGTCCACCAGTCATAGATATTAACGTACCATAGCCGAAATAATATTTGAATTTTGTATTTGTTGCATAGCATCTACGTTTTCTTGCTTCAATAATAATAATACTCAATTATTTTTTGCAAGAAAATTCGTATGTTATTCAAAGTCGCATGAAAAAGAACATTTGCATACACCCAATGTCAATGTGTGTGATCTTTCGTTTCTGATATCTCAAAAGTACATCAAAGTTTGTTCCAACTTTCAGTGGTACCTTTTGGGTTCAAATCATTGTTGAACTTCCATATGCTTATGAATATGAAGTGACCTCCGATAATTTGATCTTTTTAACAAGCAACCTTCCTCTATCGTTTTGGTTAAAGCTCATTTGGGATAATAATAAAACAATTAATACCTAGTAGGTCTTTTTCTCGTTATTATCATATAATGAACCCTCATTGGATACCGCAGGTGCACAAAAGCAGAAGGCGTTGTCAAAATATAGAGACATTATTTGTTTAGTTTTGAGTAACCCTACCAACAAATTTTAGAGGGCAATCCAAATTCATCATGTTAATGATCTCTTGTATAGCAGCAATGATTTGTCTGAATGTGTTAACTCTTATCAAATGTAACAATCAGTACGTTGATTAACTTTTTCAATGATTCCACAGAAACGATATATGTCAATCAAACTCTCCTGTAATATCGTCAACTTTGCACTTCTATATGTTCCAAAAGAAGACATCAACTTTTGGTGAAGAGACAGATTTTTATGTCCTTGAGTTATCACTTGTCTGGCCCCATAATTTTAATTTCTTGGATGAGTCTCTCCTGGCTTTTGGGTTCTTCCTTCCACCTGTTGAGGCGAGATTAGATATATTCTTTCACTAAGATCCACATCACATGTCACAAAGAATCCAAGACAAGATACTACCTATTTTATTTACCGTCAAGCTTTATTTTATAACCGGGATCCCAAAGATTTTCTAATCCCAAAGATTAATCCCACAAATTCCATAGAAATCTGAATTTTCTTACTATTTAAGGCGTCTATGGGTGACCAATCATGTATAAAATTGACCTGATTAATAAAGCTTGTGCACGTATTTTTTTTTTTTTTTTTAATTTGAAAGCTTGGTGCATGTATATATTCTGCGCAAACATGCAAGTTCGTATATATGTGGTTTGAACAAATAGGCTTATACAAAGGACATATTAAATCAAATAGCAAACTATCAGTAGTATAAATACGTTATTCAACAACTTTTTGATCATAAACTAAAATGAAAAGTATATTACTATAGTATATAAATAAAACCATGTAGTGGGCTCCAACCATTAGTACATACGTCTCTTGACTGACAGTTAGTCCCTAAACTGCCAAATGTCATCCACATTCCACATGGGATCTTGTGTGACATCCTCGTACACTTCCGACACGTGACATTCCGTTGATATGTCTAAATTTCCCACGAAATACTCCTCCATCCCAGGAATATATCCGCCAAGTTCTTGACCATTCCCTTCATGGTAACACATCGAAGAATCAATGATGGTGTTGTGATCCATGAAATGTGGAACCGTCGTCATAAGATCAGGCATGAAAGTGGAGCTCGAAGCAGAACCATTGGTGTTGCTTAAACCCTGGGTCTGACCCGAGAAATCAGTATATGTTTGTGAACTCGTTGAGTCGTAAGATTGAGAAGGAGGAAGAAGAGAGTTATTGTTATTGTTGTTGTTGTTGTTTTGGGGACAACAATAATAAGTATTTGATGAGTTCTGCTCCCAGAAACTACGAACAGAGTTAAAGAATTTGTCGCTGTTAGATTCGATGTTGAGCTGTCGAGCTTGTTTCTGAACTCTTGTTCTCCAATAGTTCTTGATCTCGTTGTCTGTTCTTCCAGGCAAGTACTGTGCTATCTTGGACCACCTTAAACACACACAAAGTTTATATATTATATGGTCAAAGGTTGGGAACTTTTTGGTATATAAAAACAAGAATTGATAATGAGATCAAGAGTTGACACACCTATTACCCCATTTAGAGTGGAGATCAAGGATCAGAAGCTGTTCTTGGGGACTTAGATTCCCTCGCCTAATGTCAGGTTTCAAGTAATTCAACCATCTCAATCTACAACTCTTCCCGGTTCTCTTTAGCCCTGATTTCATATTTTTAAGAAGATAGAAGAGAGTGGTTATAGTAAATTTAGAATATCTCTAATAGTAAATCAAAACCATGTTCATAATCACTTACCAGCACATTTGGCGACGAGGTTCCAACGGCCTTCACTGTTCTGGAGAACATAGTTGGTGAGAAGAGTATCTTCCTCAAGAGTCCAAGGCCCTCTTCTGAGCTCTACTTCTTCACTACTCTTTTTCTTCATTGAATTTTCCATCCTTACAAATGCTATTTATGTGTTCTATATTTTGTTTTGTGGGTTTTGGTATCTCCTAAGCCATATGCCTTTATGCATGCATGACTGTATAGAGATAGAAAAACTAGAGAGGCTTTTAGTGCTTTAAGTTGAGAAATGAAAGTGAATCCACAGGTTCTTGGGAATTTATAGACCAGTGATATTGGAAAATGTTCATATTTTAGCCATCAGCTTTCTTTTTCCGGATGAAGAATTAAAATATCACACGTATTTGACCTTAATTTAAAGTATTCCTTAATTAGCTTCTCGTTTAACTCATAATGGAAATTGATAAAGAAAACAGCATTTTATAGAAAAATTAAAAATATATTCCCTTCAAGTGATGTTTTAAAATTTATTTTGGCCATTCTAAAGCTTTTTTTTTTATCATAGTTCTGAATATAGTTAGATGATAAATACTAATTAATATTATACAAGGATTTAAAACTTAAATGATTTATTACTTTGCATTCAAAACTTTGAATATCATTTTTTATAATTGACTTTAAATATCACTTACATATAGCATATTACTCCTTCCATTTCATAAAAAATGTCACTGAGATAAATAAAATTAAAAATGGTCGAAATACATTTAAGTTTTTATTAAATACACATATGTAATAATATTTGAGATAAATAAAATTATTTATGAAATCAATACATTTATAATTAATATAAAGTTGAAAGTTGTATTGGAATTCTAAAATGACATTTTCTATAGCAAAAAAATAAATTAAAATGATACTTAATATGAAATAGATCGAGTGTAGTGTATAAATTAATCGAATTCGACAATGAATCAAACTTTTTAGAAAATTAGAATCACATATTTGTTGACGTTTTATTTTGGAACAAAAAAAATTGAATCATCCATATAAGTCACAATGAGATATTTTTTGTGGTGAATATTATCGGTGTGTTATGCAATTAATTTATATCTTTCGAGCTACCATATATTCAATCAATTTCCTCAATAAACGATCCGACTTTGGATTCTGTTAAATAACACATCCAAATATGACTATTTATTTAAAAATCGCTTTAGAAAAAACTATCTATATTTAGGATTATTAGTCGAATCCGGAATGAACCAGGTTACTTGATCCAGGTATATATATGATTGATAAGAAGTATAGAATATATCGATAGTGTCTGTCATTAACTTTTTTTAGTTGTGATGATGAAACGGAAAAGAATTTGCCGACCACTTACTATATGGATTAGATGTTCACAGTGGAAAGAATATGGAACAAGAAGAAGTACAGTCTAGATTCTTAGATAAATTAACTTTACTGGCAAAGTTTACGTACGATAGTCATCATTCATGATTAATATTTCATTACATTATGCCAAAGAATTGATCTTGATCTAACCCTACCTCCTCAACTTTGCCTTATTAGTTTTTACATAAGAACCTGTTTTCTTTACTACAATATTACATGTACTGAATATATGAGCAAGTATGATAAGAAATCAAACTCCAACATAAAATAATCAAATAATATTAATAATAACAAACAAAAAACGAACTGAAAATAATTTTTAAAAAATGTCGCAAAATAAACACATGGGTATGCTTTCAGCCTTTCACGCATCAAATATCATTACAAGTTTGATTCAATTAAGATTATTATTGTGGAACCAGTATCACCGGCATATTATATTTACATAAGATTGCGTTATATAAGTTGCAACATTGATGTAAATGGTAAAGCTAGAAGACAGCTATTAGATTTTCTTCAATGCCATTTTCTAGAAGACAGCTAATTATTCTGACCTCGAATAGCATAATAGCATATATCCTTCAGACTTTGAATATTCAAAGAGTCTTCATAAGTTTTCATTTGTCAGTAAACTTATAAGCTCATATAATCATACTGTGTTGTATTCTACTATTAACCAGTACTGCTATTAGTATTTTATAAACTAATAATAATATGAGAAAATAAGGAAGAGGGTCCGTGTCGCTTTAAACCGAGAAGACAAATGTGTGTATGTGCATGTATTAAAACCTATGGCATCGCTAATAATACCACTTACTGTTCAAACCAATCTTATGATATTGATATGATAACTCACCCAAAAAATGTAAATAAAGCCTAAAGACCAGGAATAAAGAAAATAAAGTCGATTTGACATTGTGTGACATCAGAGCCGTGCCTAGATCAATGGTGGCCGGAGACGACGAAAAATAAAACATCAAGGAAAATAATTTTCTTGAAATAGTAGACATCAACAAGTTTTTAGAACTCGTTTTTAACAAAATAATTTTAGAATTCTTTTATGAGTTTAATAAGAAACATAATCCAATATGAATGATTTTGAAAACTTAAAAAAGAAACTAAAATTTGGCCAAGGTTAAAACTAGCAGATCCGTTTGATTTGGATCGGTTGTTGACATATTTGGAAGATTCAGACTTTCAAGATTCTACCAAAATGAAATGAAATACACAATAACTTTAGTTCAGCTGATTTTTGGATATTGTGGATATTTAAATTGCCATTTGAAATTAACCAAAAAATTGATATTTCTGCTCAAAATTTGATTTATCCATGTTGAGACCAACTTACGTAAGATTCGAGTCCACATTATGAAAATAAGAAGTGTGTGAGCAGGTTCAGTTGTGAAAAGGAATGTGATTTAAGATAAAACAAATGAAAACAATGAGAGAGGATCCAATCAACACCTCGTTATGTCATATGTGGATAACTTCTCAGTCTTTAACAAAATGAAAACAAGAAACTGAACAGAAAGCAAGTCCTAGCAGATGAAAATCTTTGCAGACTAAAGCAGAGACATACTATGATATAGTGTACCATGAGAAACATCACCCATTCATTCAAATGATGGAGATAGACATTCATCAACCATCTCCACGAGGTTAGGATTCTCTAGTGCAGCCGCCACACGCTCCTTGTCGTTTAATTGTTTATTGACTGCATTTCAAGAACAAGAAACAAGAAACTTCTATAAACAAACGCACTTGGTCCAAAACAAAATATGAATCTAGTCCTTTTGTGCATATTTCTTTTGCTAATTCGAGAATCAACTGAACCTTGCTCCGTCACTCAAGGTCGATCAAAAAACAAAAACAAAATAAGAATAGAGAAATGACATACGTGCAGCCTCTGTTGCATGAGAACCGGGTGCTACCCTTATATCAATCTGAAAACAGAAAATTTCCAAAGGATTGAGTGTGTGCAGTTTGAATGCACTTGTAATAAGAGCAAGCTATATTCTCTTACCAAGCATCAGAACAATAGCTTAGCAATAAAAAAAGAAGAAGGTTATTTGCCTCACATACCACAAGGAGAATGGGGGAGTTTCTGAAGTTTTATTTACTACATACTAAATGAACATGATTTCTGGACAAATGTTCTTGGTTTAACTCAGTAAGATAGTGGAGGAATTCTAGCTTTACCTCAAATCTGATACCACTTTTCAAATACACCTTTAAATGATAAACTTTTACATAAATACCTCAAGTATACTATGAAAAAAAAGACAAAATTAACCATTCTAAATTAAATGTTCATGAATTATTATACAAGTTTATAAACCCTACCTCCTAAATACTAAACCTTAAAGAATAATCACTAAATCCTAAACACAAATGTTAAGGTATTTTGATCATATTTGACAAGTGGTATGGTATCCAACATAGTGTATTTCAAGCAATTTCTCAAAGAAAATAGGCACAGAATGTACCTTGTAGCGAGGAGGAAGGCTGCGCATTAGTTTAACACGGACAGAAAGACCAATAATCGTTGCCATGCTACAATGTTCCACGGTTGGAGTGAATGTAACCCTGCAAAAAAAGACAAATCTCAATTAAAAACCAAAAAAATAACAAAAAGGCTTTTTTTTATATATAATTAATTACCTGACATAACTCTTGCCATCATCAACTTCAACAGAGTCTTCAGTAAGAACTTTGAGTTGTTCCAAAGAATAAGGATGCTCTGGATCTCTTATATCTCTTATATGATGTTACTTCCAAATTGTTAAAGACCACACAAATACAATCCATACTTGTCTGAATCTTAAAAACACTATAGAGTAAGTGCAAATCGAACAAAAAAGGATATCAAAAATCTCGAGCTGGTCGATAGGTTCTACAGTAAACTCATCGGTGTTGCTCGAATCAGTACGAACACGACGCTCTTTTCTCTCGTACACTGTTGGATTCTCGTTGATTAACCCAGACACCATTATTTTATTTTTCCTATCAATTGAAATTTGAAAAAAAACCTAACACAGTAAAAATAGATTCTAAGCAGCAAGAATCGAATAAAGAGAGAGAAGGAAATTAATTTAAGCAAAGTTTGTATACCTAATTTGGTGTAGTTCGAGAGGAGCTTGATGGTGGAGACGAAGGAAGACGGTGGTGTGGAGGAGCTCTAATTAAGTTATAAAAAGAAAATATTAATTTGAAGCAAAATTCGAAGCTGGGCCAGGCCCATGTAACTTAATTCTCCAGTAAAAAGCCTCGTGGGCTTCTATATGATGATCGGCACGCTTCCTTGTGGGCTTCTATATGGATCATCACGTGGATCTTACCGCACACTGAAACACAAAAGGAATGGAGTGTATACATGACATTCTACTTATAATTTTAGTTTATGGTGATTAACAAAATTAGAGCTAGACACATTGTGTTACAAAAAAAAAAAGAGAGAGAGAGCTAGATACATTTTAGTTTAATTTGGTTAAGCTCAACGTTCATGATTATGAATTTGTTTAGTTTGGTGTTTGACAATAATGTTGTTTACGCAGACTTCTGCTAATATGGTTAGTTTAATTCGATTTATACAATGTTTTCTTGCTGCTTTGGATTTGTTGAACATTTCTATTGTTATGGGGTAGTTTTGGAATATGGACATGTTAGAGTGTTATCACTAGCAAATTATTTTTTGACACAACTATAGTAAGTATAAAATTTTAAATACGTATTCGGATAATGCAAATGCATATTTTAGCAAAAAACATATTCGGATATTGCAAACATTGAATGTTGAAAAAAGAAAAACCGAATAGAGAAAATGACTATAATAGACCTAAAAAAGCTTTTATCACAGATATAGACCTTAACAATTAAAATGACCAAAATAGCACTTAAATGTTTTATTAAATATACATTTATACCCTTTGGGTTAATTAATTCTAGATTTTTTTGTTTAGAGTTTAGGAATGGGGTTTTGGAGGTAGGATTTCGAATTTAAAAAAAATTAAGAAAACTTAAAATTTTCAAAAGAAAAAGTACTATTTTGGTCATTTTAATTTTTGAGGTCTATTTTTGTGATAAAAACTTAAAAGATGGTTGTTTTAGAGAATTGCCCAAAGAATATGCAACCTTGGATTTCCACCGGTGTTTCCCGCCGTTACAATCCAACGAACCCCGCGTAAGCAACTGGGGAACTGGTACATAAGGAAACAAAAAAGGTTTTAAATTAATGAACAAATTATTCTGAGTAAAGAAGAGAAACAAGAAAAAGAGGAATTGGTATTTCTTATTCCATAAATAATGAATTCCTTATACATACAGAAATACAAGATGATGGTTTAGTTTAAAGAAGAAATACAAGTAAATTTTGGTGAATAAGACTTTCGATAATCGACATCACAATAAATATAACACAAATATCTATATAAAAATCTAAACAGTGTACACAGACGACCAATTTAAAATGTCAAATTCCCAAAACGTCTTTAAAACATTTTTTGATAAAAAAATCATACAAAAATAATTAAAACTAGTTTCATTAAAGAATAAATGATAATTATCTATTTACTTAATAGCTATTTTTTGGATAAAATGTTAAATTTATACCAATTTTTGATTTGTGATAGAATTCACAAAAACAGATTTGTAGCAGAATGCGAAAATAAATAATAGATATATAATATAAATATGTATTTAAATAAAGAAATAAAATAAAATCGAAGACACTAATGTTTTATGGTTAATCACTTAATCCTAAAACCTTAGATGTCGAACTCGTACACCTTCATAGCCCATACTTTTTTGTCTTTATGTCTTTTTAATAAAATCTTTGTCTTTAGTGTCGAAACCAAAATAGTACTCCATGTAGTTTATATGATTCTTTTACCAGAAAACATATGGATTAGAATCAGTGGCGGACCCAGGAATTTTTTTAACATGTGTCACAATAAAATTAAAGATAAATATTTTAAATGATAAAAAAATATTTTATAAAAGCACTCTACGATCTTTCATATCCTGAAATCTTTTCATCACAGTCACATTTGTAATTTTCTCAAATACATCTTTCTCGATAAAACAAAGTAAACAATCATTCAAAAATTGATCNCAGTGGCGGACCCAGGAATTTTTTTAACATGTGTCACAATAAAATTAAAGATAAATATTTTAAATGATAAAAAAATATTTTATAAAAGCACTCTACGATCTTTCATATCCTGAAATCTTTTCATCACAGTCACATTTGTAATTTTCTCAAATACATCTTTCTCGATAAAACAAAGTAAACAATCATTCAAAAATTGATCTCCAATTCGATTTCGTCGATCTGTCTTCACAATCTTCATGGCTGAAAAACTTCTCTCAACAGTTGCAGTGGCAACCGGCAAAATCAAAATCAACTTCAGAAGCCTATAAACCAAAGGAAATGACAAATGTTTTCTTGTTTCCACCAAAATACGAGCAAGTTCTCCAAGATCTTCTAAATGAGTAAACCTTTCATCATTTCGAATGTTATCAATATAGACATCTAACTGTTGGTCTAGAGATATGCACTCTCCCTGACTAAAGTCAGATGGGTAGAAAGTCGATAATCTCATCAGTTTTGAATGGTCAAACTGAGAGAATGAATCGATGGGAGATAAAGAAGCAGCACAAATAAGTAGTTCAGTGTTCACCTCATTAAAGCGGTCGTTGAACTCTTGAAGTTGCAAATCCAAGATTGCATATAAGCAATTAACTTTGTAGTGATGTTCATTTGTCACTCCTGTTTTTTTCCTTCGCCTCCTTGTGTCAAGGAAATCTTCCTTCATATCAAGCTCTTCAATACCATGTTTCTTAGAGAAAGAAGAAACTTTAAGCATAAGAGAATTCCATCCATCATCTCTAAACTTCTGCAACTGTCTTTTCGTTGATGCTACTAAAGACATTGCATTCAAAATATCTTGATCTCTGTTTTGAAGGGCCAATGACAAACTATTTGTGACTCCTAAAAGGTGAACCATCACTTGCAAATAGAACACAAAGTCAAAGCTATCCACATAATTGAGGAGACCATATGCTTGACGTTTTTTTGAGTCATCTGCGCCATCTTTCTGAACACATTCAAGCACTTTAACGATAGAAGAAAAACACTCAACCACACGCAGCAAAGTTCTATAGTGAGAGCCCCAACGAGTCATCCCTGGTCGTTGAACAGAAACATCTTGATTTAACCCTTTTCCAGTTTTGCGTTCACCATCATTAACTTCTTTCTCAATCGTTTCTTTGTGACTCTCTCTGAGTGCATCTTTCCTTTTACATGAAGCTCCCACCACATTCAACAGCAGAGAAATCTTATCAAAGAAGTCTCCAACATCAAAATGTTTTTTGGCAACTGCCACAACAACTAACTGAAGCTGATGAGCAAAGCAATGAACATAATATGCTGATGTGCTTTCCTTTGAGATTAATGACCTTAGTCCATTGAACTCACCCTTCATGTTACTTGCACCATCATAACCTTGCCCTCTCACCTTTGTAATGCTTAAATCATACTTAGCAAACAAAGAATCAATTGCAGATTTCAAAGATGATGAAGATGTATCACTTACATGAATAAGACTTATGAATCTCTCTTTGACTATCCCACTCTTGTCAACATACCGAAACACAACTGCCATTTGTTCTTTATAAGAAACATCAGCTGACTCATCCACCAACAAACCAAATACATCATGATCAAGTTCATCAATAATGCTTTTGACTAGCTCTTCCGCAAAACAATGGACAATATCTTTCTGAATCTTTGGAGAAGTCATCTGATTGTTTCCAGGAGCATTTCTTAAAACAACTTTACTTACATCTTCATTTTGCTCGGCAGTGTATTTCAAGAGTTCAACAAAGTTACCGTTATTAGCAGTTTCTTCTTTCTCTTCATGCCCACGAAAAGGTAACCCTTGTCTCAACAAGAATCTTGAAGCATCAATAGAAGCATTTAATCGAATGCGATACTCATTTTTCGTGATATCATCTTGTTTATGAAAAGCATGCTTGATCGACTGGCCTTGCTTCATCAAGTTTTCACACTTCATTGCTGCATTATTGTGAAAACTATTAACAGCTCCTACATGCTCTGAAATATTTTTAGCTTTATTCCAGCTAGAAAAACCGTCAATAGTCCATGCATCATTTCTTCCACCTTTACCAGCATTGTCTCTGAACAAGTAACAATAAAGACAAAAAGCTGCATCTTTCTTTACACTGTATTCTAACCAATTTGGAAACTGATCAAACCAAACCGGATTAAAGCGTCTTAGCACACCTCCTTTCATTGATTGTTTGAAAATATGACCACGAGGTTGACAAGGTCCTCTCATCAAATATTTTCGGATTACCTCATTCTTTTGATTCGCATTATATTCTGATATTCTTTTCCGATCAGCAGGATCCCATGGTAGATTATCTAAATCATCTAAATCACTCTGAGATGATGGAGGAGGTGATGATGGAGGTGATGATGGAGCTTTTCTTTTCAAATTTATCAAAAATTTCTCCATATCTTCAAGACTTCAACTGGAAAAAAAAAACAACATATCAATTATTAAAAGATCAATAAAAGTACACAAAATATAACATAATTAATAACTGAATAATATACAGTAGAAAATATTACTACTAAAAAATTAATTGGATAACTAGATCACTAAAAGTAAATTAGATTTTTTTTAAAAAAAAGAAAAGATTAAAACTGGCTTACATGTTTTGATGGCGGTTGATAGTCAGAGTCTGGTTCTTTAGTATTTTCTTAAAGAAGACGACAAACACGTTTTTCGATCAAGATGAAAGGTATTGTTTTCTAACCTAAATTTATTTGGGCTCTAAGGTTTAAAGTAATTATTAGTTAGTTAACTAGATTTGTAGAATACGGTGGGTTATTATATGGGCTTGTAGTATAATTTGTTTTAGTTAATACGAAGAGAGTTAGTGGGTCAGAATCAAAGGTGTGTCA